TGAAGGCGTTGTCTTCCTCATCTGCTTGAATATCCTCAAACTACCCTGGACCATAGGCTGGAGGAGGGATGGGGTGTTTGATGGTAAGAACACAACCTCCAGGTTTGAATGAGCAATCTTAAGGTTTTCAGGCTGACCAGGCACAGTATCTAAACTTAGTAGAACCTTGATGGTGAGGTTCCTTGATAAACAATGCACCTGTCACCCATGCTTTCCTACTTGCTCGCTAGACTATTATGAGTAGGTGGCTCGTTTCTTCTATTGCATACACGATGGTCGAGGGCTCAGTTGAAAAGCATCGGTTTCACAACACAAAAACTTCTGCAGCAGTGCCACAAAGTAAATGGATAAGGCTGTCTTCAATCACCTTAAAACCTGGAGTAACCATATCTTTCCTGGAAAAGAAGGTACAAGAAGGGATTCTTTTCCAAATACAGAATCCTGTTTCTTCAGTATTAAAGACTTGCTTCTGTTTATATTTTAAATCAGCTTTGCTGCCTTAAAATTTGTTGCTAGGCATTGGTGCACTGGAGCTTTCGCCCCCTGCTTCATTACAGAGAAGATCATAGATCTGTAGTACTTTTACTTGTAGTACTGGCCCACTCGGTGGCTATTTTTTGTGTTTGGCCCTATCCAAACTCTGAGGGCCTTTTCCATCCTTTCAATAACAGGGTCAAGAAACTGCAGTAACTCTCACATGGATGTTTATCTCACTTTTATGGATGAAGTGTGTAGTGTAATAGATTTGTTTATTCCGCAATTGAACCACAGAGGCCGCAGTTTTCCCGCTAGCTAATCAATACAACAGCTCACTTTTCTTACATACGGTAATGTCATCACTTTCCTCAGTGTTTTTGTACCACAATAATTTTATCAACTCTCTTACATTTACCTATACAGTACTGTAAATATGGGTAAAACACATGGATAAAAACAGAACATATGAATGTACACAGCTTAAGTTCAGCAAGTCTTTCCGCAGCAAGGGATAGTAAACAGGTGAGTGTAATCACCCTCACGTCTCACATGTGCAAGAACCCATAAAGAGTTTCTGGAGTGAGGTGACAAATACCACAATAGGTCAAAAACATCCCCCGAGATACCTAAATCGTGTACAGAGAAGTTGCCCACAAGTAGTCAAAATCATGAAAGATAAAACAGAGGTCTCATGTGTAGGTAGTGTTTAACGTAGTTCGGTACAAATGGCAGTGTTGACAAAAGCGGGTACTATTGGCAGTGTTCAAGAAAGTGGCCACTAGAGGCAGCATTCCACTTTTACATATTAAATTTGTTGGAACATGATTACTAATCATCCCTTCACCCCAAAGTCATCAACACAACTGGGGTTTATAAGTACAGAATATCCTAAGACACTGCATGTATCATATCAATATTTTGAACAAATATTCGTTGTTCACAGCTTGGAAATTTAAGTGAGAAACAACACACTGCAAAACCTGTTAAGAACTCTTGTTCTACTATACATAACAAAACACATATTAATAAACATTTGATATAAAAATTATTTTCTAATCTATTTCAGCTGAACCATAAATTGATCAATAACTGCAGGGAAACATGATTGTTCTAACCAGTCAGCAGTTGAGTATGCCTAACAGTAAAAACATATTATGTCCACTAATATTTATGATTTTAATGCAAAGCATAATGATGACACCAACATTCTATGGCCAATTTAAGCAAAAAACCAGTTTGAAACAACTGGTTTGTGTTTAAAACATTTGTACTAATAATGCTAAAATACTTTTTTCTATTACAGGTATATTATATTTTCCCACCTATATGTGGCTGATTAACCCTTAAGCCCCGGGTTAGGGTGCTGCTGGCAGTAACCACCACGCGGGGTTAGATCGATAAAAAAAATCAACATTTCCAAAAATAATTAAAAAAAATAATAATAATAAATAAAAAAAGGCGGAAAAATAGGCAGACGTTCTGGAACGTCATCCGGGGCCTAAGGGTTAAGAAAATGAAAAACCTCAAGAAAATGAGTATATGATCAGAAGAAACGAACACAAATGAATTTAAGGCCTAAGAACGTGAAGACAGACAAAAAGCCAAAACATAATATAGACTTATCCATATCCTTAATTTGCATACAAGTGTTGTATATTAAATGGTATTACTCTTCATCTAGGTACAGTCATCATCATACTGTACTTCATACATGTCACATAATTCAACTCCTATTTCAAATGTCAAGATCTATCAGCAATGCTTAAACCTATTGTTCAAGAATTACTATAATAAGTTTACTTATCATTCAGGATTAACAGTTGAATTCTGTGAATGAATAATAAAATAACGAGGATGTGTGAAAATGACGAACTACTAGAGTAAGGGAAATGTCCATGACATTTGTAAGAATAAAGGAAGATACAAACATAAATAAGGAGTAGCAGGAGAGCATTGTAAGGCAGTGTTCTGATGAGAAAATATGCGGTAATCTATAAAGTGTGTTTACCTCATACAGTCGCCTACTCTTATACCTGATACTCTGTGGCATGCTTATCTAGCCTCCTTAGTCTGGCTAATATTGTGAGGTTCCTTAGGGCCATTCCAGGAGATTTCATAAAACGTAAACAAAAACAGAGTTGCCACAACTCACAAAATGCGCCAGCCACTATACCAAGTAAAAGTAAGGTGATTGTACATTTAGCCAAAGAAACTTAGCTGTAAATAACAAAGGACATGAAAAGATAACCATCATCTTTGCACAATAAAATCTCTTACAAGACATAAAACACAAATTTGCTATTAATGCTTATTCATCATGTTTGAAGATATAAAATACAAAAATCCTCCAACATTCCAATAAAGCAAATCACATACTGTATTTTAAAGCCGTAAATATGCATTTGTCTATTAGGAATATAGAAATAATCGAGATAGGACAAAGATTAATAACTGGAAAATGCTTTTATTCATGTTGAACCTGATTCTCTGTTTTGTATGTTGCCACTGGGGAATTTATGTTTAGTAAAAAGGTCTCAATATACCCTGATGCTCTTTAAATAATCTGAAGATCTACTTCAATTGCATTCTAAAACTCCTCCCCTTTACCCAATACTTTCCCTCTTCATTTAAGTTTCAGCACCCCTTGATCAGTGGCGGATTTAGATGGGGGTATGTATACCCCCCAACAATGAGAATCTTTCTTTTTTAGAGACAGACCACTGTCAACAGACAATTTATTTTTTAATGTGCCAGTTTTACAACATTTATCTAAATTTGTAGCTGCTGCAATCTATTACGAAGGGATATGTACTTACAGTAACTTCGGTTCGTCAGTCGACTGTAACATCCGGACAAGGTTGAATACCAGATTTTGTATACATGTGTGAAACACTCCAGAATTTTACAACACCAGCTGATCTCTTGGTGATGCTCTGATAAAATTATGTCTTGAATACAATTTTCATATTCATTATCGAATTATAGTAAAAGGAAAAATAATTAAAATACTGTATATATTTTTAACACTACAGTAATTCAAGGAAAATGTCTTTCTGACAATAAAAAACTAGTTTTCTCCACTTAAAGGGGGCTTCACGTGTTACCCCTGAACTTGAGACTCTTCTGTCACTGCCCTTGATCTATCGTCTATAAAAGTGGTACAGGAATAAAGTTATTAATAGCCAGTTGGAAGGGTTTTATAAATAGGGTTTGAGGCTGCGTTTCATGCCTCAGTTCAGTACAACACAGAGCATATACAGTATCATAACTGGTAAGAACATCTACCAACTACAAACAGGAATAAACCAACCAGTTTGGGGCCTCACTATGGAAGGGGGCTACCACAACAGAAGACAAATTATATAGTACAATACATTGTAATAAGAATGAATAAATGATAATGAATGAAGGGAATACTGTACTGTATGTGTGTGTGAACTGTACTTATTTCCAGCCATCTTGCATTATTTGGGAAAAGGCTCAGAGGATATAAAAATGTAGTGTCAAATATGACATCTGAACATATTTCAAGACACAGGAAAAGAATTACACAGAACAGGATAAAATCCATGTCACACAAATTTCTAAATACAGGTTGACAACCCTTTATCCGAAATTCCGAAAACCGAAAAGCTCTAAAAACCGAGGGGTTTTATGTGGGGCATTTTTTTTTTTTTTTTTAACAGGGATTAGCCCACCAGGGCATAGATCACTGACCCACATCAGGGCCTGGGGGGCGAAAATGTAATAGTAATAATAATTATAATAATAATAATTAGTCCTAGTGAATAAAAAATTTAATAAAACTACACAAAAAATAAAATAATATACTATTAATAATAATAATAATAATAATAATAATAATAATAATAATAATAATAATAATAATAATAATAATAAAATAATAATAATAATAAAATTCATAAAAATAACAATAATACAGGAGTACTGTACTGTAATAATAAAATAATAACAATAATAATAATAAAGAAATTCAAGAATGAAAAAAAGATCAAAAGTGAGAAACACGACCTAGACCTATGAATTATTATTATTATTATTATTATTATTATTATTATTATAATTTTAATTATATTTTCGCCCCCCAGGCCCTGATGTGGGTCAGTGATCTTTGCCCGGGTGGGCTAATACACATAAAAAAAAATAAAAATAAATAAAAAAAATCTGAAAACCGAAAAATTCCGAAATCCGAAATGCCTCTGGCCCCAAGGATTTCGGATAAGGGATTGTCAACCTGTACTATAGATTGTACACTGTGAGGCAACCAAAATATCATTCTCGGGTGTCATCATAAAAAATACAATTGCATAGATATCATTTATACACTACAGAGATAAAAAGGTTCAATGGAAAATATCATAGTATATTACTTAGTTACTGTATAATATACCCTCTAAACTATGCTTTTTTTTTTTTAGTACAAAGGAAGGCAGTGTTGTTGAAGCTGCACTGGACAACCTCCACTTCCCCCAACTTATATTAAATTATGTGCCCATTCATACCTGAGTGAACTGCAGGCACCATGGGCGAGAAGCAGCAACCTCAACAACAGGAGGCAGGCGCTGTATCCGCACAGCCACCACATCCCGTTTTCCTCCAAGTAACAGAAATAAAATAATACATACAGTATTTACTGTACTTGGGAAAAATTAAATAAATAAATACATAAAAAATATCTTTGATGCCAACCCTCTGTATGATGTCTGCCTAAGGCAAGATTGGTTAGTATAATGCAAAGCCTTTACATGACAAATAGAAATATCAGTGCACAACTTTTGAGCATGATTAGCACTGTGTATGTGCTATTACTACAATGCAAACCTTTTGACTGAGAAATACCAAGTAACATGATTGTGAACATCCATAAATATCTGTCAATACCTATAGCTGATATATTGCAAGTGTTGACATTATCATAACTTACACTTTATTATACTGTACAGCAAACTCTCTTGTCTGTTTGATCAGTGCTCATGGAAAACAATGAACAAAGCACAGTAATACAGTACTGTACATTGAAAATCTTCACAGTTCAGTACAAAAAGTTACTCAAAACTGTGAATCACAAATACAGTACTACCAGGTAGGTTAAATCTGAGCAAATGATAAATGTGCCAAGCTAACTTCTCAACGGGTTAGATTTGCATAGCTCAAGAATGTGAACTACTTCAAGGTAGGAAAACTTTCACTTATAATATTAAACAACCTAATCTACACTAAATCATGTACACTACAGCTTCTATCTTTCTAACATACATTATGTAAACCTCAGTAACACAAGGAAATGGCTTGTTGTAAGATGGCTTGGTAACATGAATAAACTTTTCAACCTTTTTCTGGATAATCATGATTTTTTCCCTCTATTGATCTCACTTTTATCTAGCGAGATATCAATTTGATGTTTTGCAATGTAATATATTGCAAAACAGGGCAGCGTGCAATCATGACTGAGACAGTTTGGTGACTTGGTGCAGGTAAAATCATGAACAATACTGTACAGTACTTGCTTGTGTGTGTGTTAAAGCATGTAGCATGTATGATATGTTCAAGTGGATTTACTTTCCAAAATGAGTTAAACTTTACAAGGCCATCATAAATTAATGAAAAACGAAAAACTAATGTCTCCAAAATCTATGAAACAAAATGAATGAAAGTAAAAATTAACGTCTCGTAAATCTGTGAAACATAAACGTGAAAAATGGACATCTGCGGATGACCACTGTATTCATCCAGTCTTCCTTCTTCAGGCACAAGTTGGAAAACAAGTGAAAATATGAGATGGGTGACATAACTTCCTCTCTTTCAAACCATTTTTGAGAGGTGAATGCAATAAAAGTACCGAGGTAAACTTTACAGCTACTACACTCAACTCGTAGAAACGACTTGAAAGTTGAAAAATAAGAAATCCGTGGGAATGTGTACATCTCCATCCTAAATGTTTCAAATTCTAGTAAAGTGGTTGTGCACTTGTACCTTTATAACAGATACAAATATACTGTAGCTACATAGTTTTCTTCAACACAGCATGCACAAACTAACCTTCCTGTTACTTTGCTTTATGCCCCAAAGTAATTGATTGCTTCTTGCCCATACAGATCCCATATAAAACTATGAAAAGTTAAGAATACATAATTAAGCAAACTAAATAATGATACTTGTACATTCTTATCCAAATAAAATACTAAATCATCAACTCTAACCATTTACAAATATGAAACAAACTATATTCTTACTATACCAAATGCTCTTTCAGTAGCCTATGATACCAGCAATATATGTACTGTAGTCATCGACGGTGAGAACTGTTATGAACATAATTTTTTTATTATCAGCTGAATCTGGTTAGAATCCATTTTTTCTTTGATATTTTGCACTAGCATGGAGCTTTCCCTGCCTGTGACATCCTCTAAAAATCGTCTCAACAACACCAAATCTTTTTCTGCAAGAAAACTATTAATCTTTTTAAGTTCATTACATGGTTGTGAAGGTTTCTCATCTACACACGATAACTGATTAAATATATGACCTTTCTGGAAACTTTTGTCAGATGAAGGCAAAATCTGAGGCAAGTTCTTCTGCTGTGTGATAAAATGATTATCTCGAGAGAGATTGGAAGCATAATACATACTACTTGTTGTCCAATACTCAGCGGTACTTGACTGGATGGAGTCCAGCATATTGAACTGCAATGCCATACACAATCTGTTCTGAATATCTCCAAGCTTTACACATTCCAAAGATGACCAAGAAGCCACGGTTTCCTTGAGCTTACTTGTATGACATTTCAAGGGAGCAATTTGTAATAAAGTAAGAGTGGACAACCTTTCTTCAACAGCCATCACCTCATCCTCACTAAGATTAAGGGTAACTGATGACAGGTCCTCAACAAGAAGAAGTAATGCATCTAAAACTTTCAAGATCTCAGGAAATATCAATGATGCATTGTGATGCCCATGTTTCCAGGAAATATATTTTAATAAAAGACTTACATACTTATTCCTTAAAATGTCTACCTTATCCATCTCCTGGATAAATTTCTTTATCGGAGTGTACATAAGGATGCAGTTTGTAATGACTCCAATTGGCCAATCAAATCCCAGTTTAGCAGCAGCTGTATTCAGCTCAAATAATCTATTGACCAAGTACTGAGGGTACACTTGAAGCAAATCTGAGACATGAACAACTGGGTGACTGATTCTGCTTGTTGAGCCAGGAATATACCAACACCCAGAGTCCTTATTGAAGAGATACAGCCCAGCACAACACACAGCTCGCAGAGAACAGCCATTTAACAATGCTATCTGATCTGACAACATAAGGTTCAAAAAATCTTCATTTTTGAACACAAAAAAGAACTGACGTATCACGGCATTTAAATGGATATCCATGTAATCCAGTGGGGTAAAACCTTTATTCTTATATAAAGTATCAGGCAAACTTATTGTCAACACAGCATCCGAAAGGCTTTTGATCATGTGGTTAATATGACCAATTTCATCGGGCTCTAAAAAATCTTGTATATTTGACTTATCAGGTACATATGATGAGAGAAGTGGTTGTTTAATTGTCTTGAGAAGTGTATCCAGATCTGGCAGTTGACCATTCTCATCTAGATATCGACTGTTACTATTGTCATCCACATCAGAATCCTGTGATCCACACACACTGGACTCGCCATGCATTGGCTCAGAGGAAACTGACTCACTACTGGTATACTTTCGCCTTCTTTCTCTGCCCATCTCAGGTCGGATGCCTTTTTCTCGTTGAACTTTCATGTGCAGAGTTTGGCTGCTACTAGAGGGTGGATCTAGCTGCATGACTTCATCTATCATTCTTTGATGAGCCATGTGAAAAGGATCTTCAGTCCTAGGGAAATTTGTTTAAATAAGAGTGGATACAAGAAACACTGAATATATTTACATTTCATCACTTAATTCCAAATGAATTTCTATTACATTAACTAGCTACGGTATTAATGTGACAAAGTATATGTATCTAGAATTATACCAGACAATACAGGTACTTAAATTATACTCTTGTGTATCAAATTGAGAATGAAAGCTTGAATAAATATGGTGCGGTACTGCATTATTATTCAACAAGTGGGGGATGTGAACAGATATGATCAAGTAAGAAATTTGTGCACATAACTTTACAACACTTAACATTAATTATAAAATAAAATTAGAAATACAGTAATTTTACAAGTTCAGTTCCTCTTTTCAATTACATACTGTAAGTATTTGTGTTTATCAATTCATCTTTATTTTGGGGGTTGCTTAATTTACCTATTCTACCTCATGCAAGGAGTAGCAGTGTGAGAAGGAAGAAAAGCATTAAAAAATATTAAAATTTTATGAATTGCAAACAGGAAAAATGAGATAAAACAAACATTTTTAAGTGAATACAGTACCACACAGGTACACCCCGTAAAAAAACTATCATTACAATTCCTGCACAAAACAAACTGACGATAGAAACGAAGTACTGTACAGTATTTCAAAAAGGCCCCCCCCGAGGCATTCCTCGCATTGGTAGCCACACGTGCTCGAAACAAGTGATCGGCACTCTGAAACAAGTCAGAGTTAGTGCTGCTACACTAAAACAATTTGAAACTTGATCGGAACTCTATGCCTCATTTCTCCATGTCGAATACACTTTGTGAGCGGCACTGTAGCAGCCTAATATTGTGATTTACGTAATTAGTGTTACCAACATTTCCTGATATCTTACATAAAGAATGTGTATGTTATATGAACTGTGGAGCTATTCAGATGTTTTGAAACAGCATGGTATATTTTCCAATAGGAATAAATAATGACATAACGTGGTATTAGCCCAAAGTGAAGTAGCAATACAAATACAGATTCAAAATTTGGTTGCCAAATAATTTTATACCTTTACTATATTCAATAATTCTGCCAAACATATACACCTGTAATGCATTCCTGTATGGCAACCCATCCACTTCCATGGATCCTGTAGTCCACTGTGTGTGGAACATTTAATATAACATACAGTTTAACTTATCTAGATATACTGACATTCTCCAGTCATATTGTAACAAAGTAATTCAATATTGTCAATGAAATAACTAATTTCGGCCTACCAAGTTAAGTACAAAATGTCTCACATTCAGGCCTACCAACCCTCGCGAGACAACGGGAATGTTCAGTTGGAAAATCATTGGACCCCACCTGTACAGTAGTTTTTGTACCGAGTGTACATCTACAAGTATTTCAAAATATAATTTAAAACTACAAAACTACAGCTATAGCTAATTATAAAACACTGATGCCCCATAGATACAAGACAATAAAACAACTTTCAAATCTAGTCATGTAATCCAAGGATGCAAACAAGAGGGCCTATAAAGTTTCATAGCTTTACCATGCATACTTATTACACAAGCCTACAGACAGACATTGCAGTGAGATATACTGTAAGTACAGTACCGGTGTATAAATATGGATAAAAGAAAAACAAATGGATAGAAACAGATACAAATCAATACAGTATACCACACTGCATATTCAGAAGGGGAATACTGAAAATCATGCTATTCAGTAATTCTTGAAGCCATGCATGTGACTTAACATAAACTAACTAAAGTAATATACTGTATACAGAATAAGCATAAGTAGCAAGTGGCTTTTACTTACTGGACAAACTCCTTCTGGCCAAAGTAGCTTGAGACATCACTGCTCTCACTCATGGAGGGAGAAGTGCAACTACGATGTGATAAGGCTTTCTCCTCCTGCTGTTGTTGCTGAATGGAATGCGCAGTTAGTCCTGCAGTCAGTCGAGAAATGAGACTGGTAGGCGTCTCCCATGCATTGCTCTCTTGTGCCGAGGGGTTGCTCTCGTTCACTGACCAAGGCGGGGCACTTTGACAAGGCTTCCCCACTGATGAATCTCTCTGGGACGAAGATGATGATGATGACTGTTGCTCATGTTGTGAAGGAGACTCAAGGCTGGGGTGTACTGGTGGTGGTTGTGGCACACTGGGCTTTGTCAGTGAAGGGTTTGCTATAACAACAGCTTGTCTAGTACCTTCTGAAGAAGACAGTGAATGATGTTGGGTATTTTGTGTTATTGGCAAGAGATTGGGTACTCTACTTAAAAAAGGTGGACTAATATTTGCTTCTGCTACCTCACGTTGGCAGTTGTCAACAATAGTTGAAGATGTAATAGAGGACAGTGTGATAGGCACATGGGAATCTCGGGTGGTGGTAGGCATAAATTGTTGTGATGTGCTATCTGAAATCACCTTATGAGTATAAGTATGGGATTCAGGTTGCAACATACCTGAACACTGATGGACCACACCAGACATTATAGGCGATCGACAAACAGGGCACCATTTTACTTCTCTAGCATACTGACCTTCACTATGAACGTCAAGGGAAGAATAGTCACTCTCTTGAAAAGAACGCTTTTGAGATCTAACATGTCCATCACTGAGGGATTTCATTGTCCTGTGTGAGCACCCTGGAGGATGCAACTGACTTGTATGACCACCACTGCTGAGCACTGTCAAGAGGGCATGGGAAGATGGAGGAGTGACTTCAGGAATTTCTTGACTGGGAGGAAAATGAGACCCTGAAGTTGTTTGTTCAGAATAATTTTCTACTTCATAGTGATGGGATGAACTTCTAGAAGGCTCAATTATGAGGTGATGTTGAGAGTGCTGATGAAAATTATCTTCTACTGCAGGAGAGTAGTGCAGTTCATTGTCAGGCTGAGAGCAAACATTACTGTCATCATTTCTTTGCCCAGAAGAGCTGGACGATATGCCCAACCGTACCATCTTTATGTCCAACTCATCTGAAATTAAAAGTAAAGTACTACAACACCATCTGAAAATTTAAGAGCATGAAGAAAACATTGTGTACTGTAATACTGTATATGCAGTATATTTGGAAATTTCATTTATTCTACAGAGTACCCTAGGGAAAATATATATTCAGTATACTGTACATTTATAAAATGACACAACCCTCTAAATCTGCCACACCTCACTCCTCCCATGGATCTACCCTCTGAGGGGACAGCTACAACAGACCATCCTAAGTTCACACATCCACTACAAATATGGCACGATTCCCCTACTTTTATGTACAGTACAGTACATGTTGTACCAGGTGGTGGTGGTGGGTGGGGGGTTACAGTGTTGATTTAACGCTCCTACATGCCCACATTCTGACCTAACTAAACACGTTCATGTATGTAAAATGAGTGTGATGTGGCAAAGAAGGAAGGAAGGAAGGAAGGAAGGAAGGAAGGAAGGGGACTAGTACAGCGCTGTGAAAAAGAAGTACAGGATACAGTGGTCACAGGTACAAGGTTGTGGAAAATTACTAATGGATACAAATTGTAGCACAGGTTAGAGGCCCCATATTTATTTTATTTTTATTTATTTTATTTTTTCACGGGAATTAGCCCACCCGGGCACAGGTCAAACGACTCACAACGGGGCCTGGGGAGAGAAAAAATAAGAACAGAAAGAAATTGAAAATAGAGAAGAATAAGGTTATACAGTCTCTCCTCGACTTACGACGGGGTTCCGCCCCGACGACCAGGTCGTAAGTCGAATTGGTCGTAAGTACCGGTAGAAAGGCCGCAAATGTTGAAAAAATGAAGTGTGAAAAAAGCCGATCCTCCAGCAACCGCGGTGGAGTCAGTTGAGGCCCCAGTAACTTGATGATGATCAGGTCGGCCCTGGGGTCCACAACCTTCTCGACCAGTGGGACCCATCCGAGAAGGCCCCGCATCAATATTTATATCAACTGACATAGGAGAATAAAATAGAATGAATAAAACAGATCAAGAATGAGTACGGTTATATTTGATGTGTTGTCAATAGTAAGAGAGACAGTTGAGACCCTGCAATTGTGTGTAAACGAGGCAGAAAGTCAGATCATCAACCTGGGACTTGGTCACAATTTTCGTGATGCCATATGGCAGCAGGGTCTACCATTAGACATACTTTATGCCTCCAATATCTTCCCAGGCAGTAGTACCTCCCTGTTTGGTAGCTGCCTACTACCTACTAGGGGCATATACAGGTACATGGAAGATTAATGCAAATAAAAAAGCAGTACAGGACACAGTGGCCACAAGTACAAAAGTTATAACAGTGTGACTTTCGGCAGTCTGATAATACAGAATAATTTATGATCGCATTATGCTGTGTCACCCAGGCAACCCTACTACCGATAAGGGTTGAAAATTTTCTCATAAAACAGTGTTGTGTAATACTCTCTATTTCACTCTTGCTTATCTTGTTAACTAGAGTAGGCTATCTTGTGCTATCTGATCATCCCTTCTAAGATTGTGTCTCGAATTCAGTTCTCTCTTTGGAAACACCAAAAGGTCCACCAATCATACTTTACAATCATTCTTCCTTACTCATCACCAATCATACATTACAACCTCTTTCATTCACTCCCTCCCTCCTTCAATGCCTTCCTCCCTCACTACCTACCTCCTTTACTACCTAACTCCCTCACTATTTCCCTTCTTCACTACCTCCATCCTTCCCTCACTACTTCTCTCATTCACTACCTTCCTCCCTCACTACTTCTCTCATTCACTACCTTCCTCCCTCACTACCTTCAGCGGTACCTTCCTCTTTAACAGATTTGTGCTCCATCACACTTCCCCTCTTCCTCCCTCCCTCTCCCTTTTCTATCAACTACTGTACTATATACTGCGCCACCATGCTTTTGTCCCTCCTCCCATGTACCATATATCAACTAAGTACAGTACCATCACACTCTCTTTCCTCCTCACTTTCTTCACCCCCACCATAAGAAACATTATTACCTTGTCCTCATCTACACAGTGATTTAAGAACCAGTCGTTGTTTGCCTAAATATGGAATACGTTGAAACTGATAACCAAAATGCTTACGTGATTCACCACTTAAATTTCCCAAATCAAAACTTAAAAAGGGAAATTGTAATCTTCCTCTTTCAATTATGTTAAGCTGTAATTCAATTTTCGTTTTCATTCATTTATGCATGGTAAACTTATTCAGTACTTTCTCACAATGGTTATACTTTATTGAAATGCAATACAGTACTGAATGGAGAAAAAAAAATTATACGGGATCACCTGTTGAATAGCCCCCTCCCCCCTCCAGCTAATTTCACCCAACGATTAACCACCCTAATGCGACTTGGAGTGGCTATGTTAGGTTAAGTTATGTTAATTTATGCTTAGATTAGGTTATGTTAATTTATGTTAGATTAGGTTATGTTAATTTATGTTAGATTAGGTTATGTTAATTTATGTTAGATTAGGTTATGTTAATTTATGTTAGATTAGGTTATGTTAATTTATGTTAGATTAGGTTATGTTAATTTATGTTAGATTAGGTTATGTTAATTTATGTTAGATTAGGTTATGTTCTATGGTTACATTAGGTTATGTTAGGTGCTGCTAAAAGGATAAATGGATCCACAATTCCCTGGTAAAAACATTCTCAAGTCGCCAACCCCAGACTTAGTAACAAACAATAAAACTCCTCGCCAAGATCCCATCGAGCGAAATGACAACACAAACACCTTAGCTGATAACTCTTTTGATTGTCAAGAGACGTAAAACTTTGATATGAGTGAAGTCAGTTAACGTACAGTGACCAGACATAAAACGCTGTGAAGCTAATGTGGATGTTATGATTTAGTTGGCATATTGTATGTGGTGAGGATATGAGGATGTACAGTCGTTAAAAAGACTATCTTTACAAAATTCTGTTCAGCAAATAAGACGCAACAGACAGAGGATTTTGACAACCTTACCAAAGCAACAGGAGTCGCAGCAATCATTCTGAAATTCATAGAACCTCCCAAGTAAAGATAGATTTTTTGAGTGACTATATTATTGTGAATATTTGGATCACTTTAAGATTACCCCCCCCCACCAGCTAATTCACCTGTTGATTAAATACCCTAAGGCTTCCCTGAGGGTTAGCCTATGTTAGATTAAGTTATGTTTAGGTTAGGTTAGGGTGGTTAATCTTGGGGTGAAAAAAAAGCTGAGCGTGCTAATCTTCATGTCATCTGAATATTTCTACTTTTTTTATTTTGATTCTTTCCTTCATCTTATACAGTCTACAGTTTCTAACACTATTACACCCCTATTCTGTCACTCATCCACGGCACAGAAGTGACAACAACAAACTAAACATATACAGGTACAGTACTGTATGTACAGTACAGTATATTGGGGTGGTCCAGCAAAAATTAAGTTCCATTTTCTTAAATGTGGCACCTCCCCGAAACATTCTACACGAAGAGAAAATAATTTGAAGGTCGCTACCGACCTGTGAGCCATGTTGAAAAGCCAATCGAGGGAAGAACTGAATGTCTTCTCTTTCAGTTTGAGGTCCACTGACCTCTTGGCTGAATAGTTTTGATTTTTCTTCATCTACCACTCTTCTCAGATCTTGACCACTGCATCAGTTACAAGCTTCCTCAGTCTTGTGGGAATACGTGCTTCCCTGAAAAGTCCAGCAATGCATCTACAGTTAGAGCAGCACTTTCCCTCACAGTTTTCTCCTCCATCAACTAACAGCATAGTACTGTATTATGGTGAAACTTCAAGACTCGGTAGCGACCTTCAAATATTATTAGATAAAGATGAATTTTTTACCGAATTATTTTCTCTTCGTGTAGAGTGTTTCGGGGAGGTGCCACATTTAAGAAAATGGAACTTAATCTTTGCTGGACCACCCCAATATACTGTACTGTACATACAGTACTGTACCTGTATATGTTTAGTTTGTTGTTGTCACTTCTGTGCCGTGGATGAGTGACAGAATAGGGGTGTAATAGAGTGTTAGAAGCTGTACAGTACTTGCCACTACCTGTTCTTTCTGAGATCCACCAAGCTTAATAAAGACCAACACTAAGATTAAGAAATGTCATGTAACACTTATGATTCAAAACTGTCTGGCTGGGTATACAAAGCATTATACAGTATCATCTTTGGCTAGATGCATAGAAAGCTTCATTAGATACAATCTCTGTACACATGGTACTTCACTAGATACAGTACCACCTTTGTACAGTACAAATAAAACTTCAGTGTACAGTATTCCACCTCAGTCATTTCAAATAGAAATTGTTTACAATTAAAACCACCACAGTCTCTACGCAAAGACCTTCATCAGATACCACCTTTGCTACACACAGCTGCTTCAATAGACACCACCTTTGTCCACATAAAAATAAACATCAATATTAAAAACAATGAACAAGTTACTAGACAACAACAGTGACTCGTCAAAAACAGAGACCACACATAACATGCCTGTCATTCAGATAAAGGTGAATGTATTGCTCCAACAATAACAGACCTATCACAGTACCTTATCTCCCTTGTTAAAAAATGTGCTGATCACCCTTTGATGTGCTGTGTTTGGTTTATATGACATCTTTGCCTAATGGCCTCCCACTAGAGGTGGCCAACTGGCCATGCCAAGAGAAGGAGGCCAGTGGCCTGTGTAGGATCCCTTCATTGTTGGTGGTAATTTTGTCAAAGGCTATTCTGAAGCCCAGTACTGTTTGTGATTCCACAGCTTAGGCTGATAGATCATTCCACGGGGTCTACCACCCTCATTGTGCATAAGTATTTCCTTACATTAGTTCCAGTTCATCCCTCACATTTGTGTGTTTCTGTGCAACATATGGGATTTGGATGTACTCCAGAAGTGTTGATTATCATCATTTACAAGAGGGAGAGAGTTAGAGGGAAGGGGTCAAACACCTGCACAACAGCTTTACTCATGAACACACACCCACATATACAATTTTTTTTTTATAGGGATTAGCCCACCTGGTCACAGGCAGCTGACCCACATCGGGGCCTGGGAGCGAAGAAAAAAAAGAACCATAAATAAATACAGTAGAATAAGGGAAAAATTAAAACAACTCAGGAGTGAAAAACGATAGACTGTATATGTGATATACGGTAGTTGTGTTGTAAAAGTTAGAGAAACTATTGAGACCTTGCAATTGTGTGTGAATGAGGCAGAAAGTCAGATCACCAAACTGGGACTTGGTCACAATTTTTGCGATGCCAAAGTCTACCATTATGCTTCCAATATCTTCCCAAACATTAGTATACCTCACTGTTTGATAGCTGCCTACTATCTATACACATGTGCACACACAAATAAACACACATACTGTACAAACATTGACTGCATGTACACACCTAATAAACATCACAGGTTTGGTCTGAACACTCATCCAGTAACAAGGGGATTCCGCTGCATATATAGTGGTCCCTCGGTTAACGAACACAATTCGTTCGAGACGGTCGTTCGTTAACCAAATATTTCGTTATCCGAAACCATTGTTTCAATGGGATTTTGGGTAATTGGTTCTAGTTCACCGAAAATTACAGTACATCCAAAGTAAAAAAAAAAATGCAGTAAAGTACACTTACTTTGAGGTGTGTATGTAGAAGGCTCCTGGTTGATGATGATGGGAATTAGAAGTGGGGGTGGAAGAGAAGGGAGAAGAGAAGGAAGTGGGGGTGGAAGAGAAATCACCCAATGCTTGATGCCGTCATTTCACCCATAAAATTTTAAGTTCACTAGTGTAATTCAAGATTATTTTCTTTAAATCAACACTGCACTGCACTATACTGTATATGGTCAATATGTTAAATAAATTTCAGAATGACTAATAATTGTACTGTAAAAACGTAAAAATACTCTGTGTTCAAGAGACCCACAAGCAAGATGTTTCCTCCACTGAACAGAGACACAAACTGAGGCCTTGGTGGGTGAGTGAAGTGGCTGATGGGCACACCAAAAACTAGTTCCCTGTACTGCAATTAAGTTAAATAAGTGTTAAAATGACTAAAAATTTTAATATAAAACTTGGAAAATTATTGAATAGTACAACCTTCTTGATATTTACTCCAATTTTAACGAATGTAAGCCCTAGAACCGATTTCTGTATTGGCGGACTAATCTTCCAGCTGGTGAGCAAACCAAAGCATGTCGAAACATTTTCGTAAGAATTTCGTTAACCGAATTTTTGTTCGTTAACCGAAATGAAGATTCTTATGGAAGGTAATTCGCTAACTGAAATTTCGTTAACCGAGGGACCACTGTAATTACTATCCAGTACCACTTCCAGCTTGGGTAGTGAGATTTTTAAGTGAATCTACCATTTATCCAATGTTTTCTCAACATAGCACCATTAATATCATGTGCAGGTTGATCCATAACTACCTTGAACCACAGGACAACTTCATAAACTACATGGAGTAGCAATTACCCTACAAGGCAACAGTCACTGAATGCCGCATAGATCTGCGCCTCAACTAACTCAACACAGCTAGGATAGCTTCTTATGTATAAGGATACAGGGTATTTAATTTTAAGGTAATAAAATGGCGACAAAGGTGTGGCTATTGGGGGAGGCTGGAGGCCACGTAAAAAAAAAAAAAAACCCTCTGGATTGGCTGTGAGAGCAACCAGTTTTCAAGAGATCTCTGTATTTTGTAATTTGATTTCAAACTTACCGTTTGATGTAACTTAATGTGCCATTTTGTTACTCACATTCTGTTATATAATTTACCCCGGTACACGAGAGAGAATGAGAGAGATTGTGATGTAATATCAATAGTGTACAGTCAATACAGTATAATACTGTGTATTTGTAAATGTACCCCAGCCTCACACCTGTACCCTGCCTCACACATGTATCCCAGTCTAACACCTGTACCCTAGCCTTACACCTGTTCCCTAGTTTAACACCTGTGCCCGGTAACCCAGCCTCACACTTGTTCTTTATGTGGTGTAATTGGGCAAACATCTGTGATTAATGTGCACCCATTGCATAACAAGCACTCAGGATGTAGCCAATCACATCTGACCCAGGCTTCCTACTGCTTGTATGGGGAAGGATTGGAGGATGAAGGTTGCACTATATATAAAGAGGAAGGGAGGGGGAATGAAGGATACACTGTGCAAATGAAGGGGAGGGAGGGATGGGGGATGAAGGATAAACTATACAAATGAATGGAGGAAGGAGAATGTACTCTACAAATGAAGGGAGGGAGGATGTAATTTTTTTTTTTTTTTTTTTTTACGGGGATTAACCCACTCGGGCACAAGTCACTGACCCACATTGGGGCCTGGGGCAATAATGTAATAATTATTCATTGTAAATAAAATTTATAATAAAAAGTAAAATAAAATAAAACTGTAATGTTAACAATAATAATAACACTAATAATAATAAAGAACAATAAAGAAATACAAAAATTAAAAAAATTAAAAATAGTGAGAAACGCTATATGTGTGTGTGTATGTTGTGTTGTCAAGTAAGTGAAACAATAGAGACTTGCAATTGTGTGTAAATGAGGTAGGAAGACATCAGCAACCTGGGATTTGGTCACAATTTTCGTGATGCCATATAGCAGCAGGGTCTACCATTAGACAACACATTATGTTTCCAATATCTTTAGTGTAAAGTACAAGGAAAAGGTGGAAGTGGGGTTACAATGTTGATATAATGGATGACTACATATATAAGAATGTATGATTAAATATAGAACCAACTCAATTACACTACTGACCTCTGACACACAGTGACGAGGCTTCATTGGGCTTCCAGCCAACCTGTGGAGTAGAATAGTAATGCTTTTAGTATATGAGGAAGAGAAAGAAATTATAAAAGATATGAACACGTGAACATGGCCTCAAGTGAGCGCCACTCAAGGCAGCCCTGGGAAAAGCTTTCACAAAGCTTTGTGCACTGAATATAACTAAGGAAAGTAAGGATTGCATCTGTGTAACTCATGTTAAAACACAAAAACCATATCTAAAAACAACACAAGGTTTACATTGAGAGAATACCATTCTACCTTAACTAGTTGTGACCACTTAGCACCAGTAGTTAGGTGACAAGATTGAGGTACAGAAGATCAATTGAAAAAGATTTCCTACTTTAATCTTTTGTCTCCTAACTGATGCTACGTGAGCATATGCAGGCAAGGTAGTGTTTTCATATACTGTACAATATATACCTGCGTATATAAATACTGTATGAAGTTTAGTGAAGCCTCGTGCTAAATTATTCTCAACTAACACATCACAACCACCCACACCTGATGCATGAGGTTAACAATCAAAACACGGTATCACATGCTTACTATACTGGGACAGCATTATAACTATGATAACATAGTTTTAACACTACAGTGAGTTCTGCTATAACACGTGTTTTGATAACGCGAATTTGCTCTAACGCGATTTATGAATAGAGGAACGATACTTGTATAACGCGAACGCTTGTTTGCTGTAACGCGATTTTTGCTTACTATTTCTCCAATTTTGTGGTATTAACTGTGAATATGGTAAAGAAGAATATCTCCAAGAAGCGTTCTGGTGATCGAATTCCCGGTGATGATCGTAAAAGAAAGGATATAACACTTGAAGAGAAGCTTGATGTTATCAACCTCAAAATCACCCTTCTCCCCCATCAAGTTATATTCATATTTTTTCAAGGTAAAGTGTTACATTTACTGTATGATTTCATTATTAGATATGAATGTAACATTTATTTAGACTGTGCTATCCTTTGTGTTAGGCTAACTACTAATTTTTTTTCGATTTCAAGTAGTAATCTGCACCTAACCCTATTTTCTCCATAAAGCCCTGTTATTTCTATTACGCGATTTTCTATAACACGATATTTTACAAAAACACAACTATCGCGTTATAGCAGAACTGACTGTACCTGTAAATTACTGTACAGTACTACAGTACATACTGGTATAGTACAATACTGTATAAAGAAATTTACTGCTGAGTAAAACAGCTTAATATAGTAAACACCACCTCATAACACCAACACAGTGTAACAGTTTATTTCATTAAAACTGATGTACTATAATGTCAGATACCGTGTACTGTATGTAGTACCATTCTCAACAGTTTAAATTTGTTAATTCAAATATCACAACATTATATTCCGTCATCAACTAAGAAGTTAATGCGAAGATAATGGAACATTATAGCCATAAGGTTGAAATATCAATACCTGTACTGTACTGTAACTAACAACAGAATTTTGTCTTTACCTCAGAAGTCTCTTATGCTTCTATATCGTACAAATATCATCTGCCTAATGTGTGATGATGATTACGGTACAACATCGAAACATTATGGTCATAAAGTTAAAATATCAATAACTAATAAATAATATCACAGGACCATCATCTGCCTACTGTATTTCCATTCATTTTGCAATACAAATTTCATGAAGAAATTACAACTCATATAATTTACTAAGAAGGGGTATACATGCAGTGAGTGAGTGCTCCTCTTTATTGCATGGTGCTAAGCCAACAATTAGCAGCAGTTTTAAAATACACTTAACACCAATAGAAACAATACATGCAAGTGAAAATGAGGGCAGGGAGAGCTACGAGGAAGGCACTATGTAAACAAACAGGGATAACCTTTCAAGCCAAGCACTGTTTGTTTACCCGGACACACACACACGTTCATCCGTGTAACAAGTTCACCCTCACACAACAGCTGGGTATCTATCCTCCACTAAAGCAAGAGGTGGTATATACAGCCTATATCATCCTCAAGTACAGCAAGGCAGTATAGATTATTTCCTCCTCCAGTATAGGAATAGGTGGTAATCACAGCGTGTCACCCGGAAAGCTCATCCATTGACTCTGAATTTAGATAATTTTTCCGGAAAAATTCCGAGCCAATTTCAATTCCGGGTATTGGAGAGTTCCGGCTAGTGGAGATATTACTGAACAGTATTACAGTACTGTATTGTTATTTTGTTTGGACGGGGTTGTGTTTTAACCTAACCTAACCTATGGAATTAACAATGTTCTGAATTATGAACAGATCAATTTACAAACAGGGTCCAGGAACATAACCTGTATGTAACTCGGGAACTGACTGTACTGTTCAGTCCGTGCCATTAAACAAAATTTCTTATTGTAGAAAAGTTCATAGCATTAGGATAAAATTACTGATTTTTTCAGAATCACATTACATTTCCATTGCCAGAGCAGCACCCAGTGCGTGTTGACACAACATCTACAAGACTATGGTAGCCACAGTATGTACTGCATTGGCTAATTCAATATGAAATATTATATAAACACAATTAACCTAACAACAAAATACCCAAAGAACACCAACAAACTTATAAAAACAATCTACAATATATATCTACAAAACACCAATGTCTTGTAAATATGACTATACCAGGAGACTCCATTCCTTGAGTATGAATTAACAATTAAATTTCTACAGTCGGCACAAGAAGTCAAAGTTGGATTTTTACGTATATGTACTGTACTGTACTGTACTGTACTGTACTGGTATATGGTAATACAGTAATGGAGCAGATGGCAAAAAACTGATCATATGACACTAAAATGATCTCTAATTTCTTTGTACACAAAGAAATTAATTATTTACGGTGAATTTTCGATCTTGCACCAGTATTTCTCTCGCTGTTATTAATATGTTTTTCATAATGTTTAGACAATTCTAAGACTTTCCTTCTGTGATATTTCCGCAGGAAATTAGGATAACTGAAATATTAATTTTTAAATATTATTAGATTTGGTCAGTCACAAGTGTCGCCATTTGTTGTTTACGTCTCACAGAGAAGGTCTCACCACCCATCACGCAGTGCTCCTTACCTCCATGTTGGCTTTTTAAGCGTCTACAGTTCATGTGTGGGGGGGTGGTGTGGGAGTTTCTTATTGGTTATAGCAATCGGAGACTTATAATTGGGCAAAAGTTTTTTGTCTTGGCCAATGAACAATGCTTGGGTGCGTCAGGAGCTGAGATTTGATTTTCAGTACCAGAATAACCAGAAATGGCTGAACAGGTGGAAAGAGCTGTGCTGATATTGTGAGAGAGATTATTTTACATTAATTGCAGAGTTTCATCAGAAAAATAGTGTAAGGTTAGGTCAGGTTAGGATTGGTTTTGTTGGTTTTTTATTTATGTGATTTACTCGAAAAAATATAAATTTTCATTAAGATTGATGTAGGGGGGGGGGGGTCTCAAAAACTATTGATTTCCGACTGAAATGAATATCAAATTCGCGTTCGAAACTCATAAAATAACATCGGAAAAACATACTTTTAATATCCAAACAAAGACCGGTGCATTAGTGAAATTTTACCTTATTTACCATAAATATTCATCTGAAAAATCTGCTGTTGTTGGCACATGTCATCTGCTCTTTGTTTGCATGCAGCAACTGACCAGCTCAGTTCGAGCATACTCTCACATCCACAAAAATTTTAAATTACACCATGCTGCTTCAAGAAAGTTGCTTTCATTGGTACCAAATATCAAAGTAAGCAGTGTACTGTACTTTCTGTTTAATATGACAAGGGGTCCAGGGGGCTATAGGAAGTTATGTAGGGTTAGGTGGGATTCTTTGGTCGGTTAGGTCAGGTTCTATTAGGTTCTGTGTATTGTCGTATAGTTTTATTACTTACTATCATCCAGAGAACTGGGAAAAAAGAACGAAATTGAACAACACATTCAGGTGTTAGCCATCAATTCCAGGATTACCAATATTTTACATAAAATTTTAAAATATAAAAAATCACCAAGAACTAAACTTTTCTCTAATAAGTGGAAATTATATCTTGATATTGCTCTCAGCTTCTGGGGAATTTTATCCCTCATCCATACAGAGGCACCTTTGCACCTTCACAAGTGCAGTCTCAAAGTCAAATGAATCTTATCTGGCCTGTTACAAATAATAGCAGAAAAAACAAACCATACCTAATCTAAGTTAAAATTCAACTCAATATTGTCAGGTCAGGTGTGGTTTTGTCCATTATCATTAAAAAAGTCGGTGCACAGCGTACTTGAAGAATCCTGTTTACACGACCATGATACCTAATAGGACACTTTACACTCAGTGCCGGATTTAGACCTGTGGAGGCCCATGGGTAGCCTCTTTGTGGAGGCCCCCTCATTATAACTACCCAAGAGGGTGGGGTGGCGAGTGAAGCGAGCCTAAACATCTGGGAGTTCCGGGGGGCGCTGTAAGCCCCCCGGGAAAATTCTGAAATTTGAACACTTCTTCGGAGAATTTTGAAGCCATATGCAGTTATATTGAGGAAATTAGAACATTGAGAAATTTGTTTATTAACTGTATATTTATTGATAGTGTACAAATTCCCAACACACACACACACACAAAAGTGAGACATGACTGGAGTCATTCATGTGGTTTCAAGTCGACCAGCCCTGATATAGCTACTACCGCACATGTGGAGGCCCCCAGATTGTGGAGGCCCCTGGGCAGCTGCCCAGGGGCCCACTCCTGAATCCGGTCCTGTTTACACTTTATCATACAGCCTTATGTTTATGCAGTACAGTACAGTATTTGCTGCTGCTTTTCTACTCTTGCAAATAAAGGCAACAGTGTAGTCTTTTTAAACCAAAAACAACACATTACATTTGTGGAGACACAATACATAATACTTGTAAATAAGGTGGCATCCTTCTCCTTAATCTGCACCAGAATTCAATTTTCAGCCAGCACAAGGAAAGGAAAATTATCTAATACTGTACCACACATTTCTGGACCCATGGCCATGAGACTAAGGTCTTCTCAAAAGTGCAGTCATCCCCTATCACTATTAGCAATTACAAGATTATACTGTGATGTTACAATTCAAATTGTGCCCTGGATGGCATTACAAATTTCAAGGATGTCATATTGATTAATAACAAAATTAAATTGATTCATGAATTAGACAAATTGAGTTGCAGTTTCATTCATCTTCGCAATGACACTTTATAAGTTTCCACCAATTACACATATACAAAAATTATACAAGAGTAACGGTGTGCCACCAGGAAGCGAATTAGAGGTCAGCAATGCCTCAAAACTGCAAAATGAGTGCTTTTGGCATCAGCCTTGAGCCACTCCACGGCCTTTAATGTAGCTTTCATTTGGTGAACCGAGTTAACTGACATACATTAACACTATCATCACGCTGTTAACTTCCAGCAATCATCATGGTACTTACCAGCGCTAAAATGTATCTTCAACGAGCCGATAATGTGAAGAAAACAGGTGCTTTCACTTATCAAAAGATACAAAAACCACCATGGTGAGCATCTGCAGTGTAAACATTCGTACCAAGCTGGCAACAAGCGTAGAGTGACTCGCCGAGACAATGTTTCGAGCCCCCAAACTCCCAGATTGAACCGCGCGAATCCTGGGTACAAAATGTGGATGGAAATGCAAACGTCTTATTTAAGAGAAAACAAAAAGCCCGTTTAGTATTGGTATTTAAGCGTAGTGACTGATGTTTAATTACTGACCGTTCAAACACATTGGTAATTAACAACAATAACAGCAATTCTAACATTAATGATACTCTGTTTGATATAACTTAAACCGTAAGGTAATTCCCGATCAGTGTATGCTGAAAAGTGGAGAAATTACAGGTAAAGTAAATTGCATAAGCTCAAGTTCACGAGTCATTGAAGAAGATTTTTTTATAAGCACCATTTACATCGCATCGAGTAATATTCTTGAGTCACTTCTTAAGTGTGTGTGTGTGTGTGTGTATGTGTGCGCGCGAGCATTATATTGTATATATATATATATATATATATATATATATATATATATATATATATATATATATATATATATATATATATATATATATATATATATATATATATATATATATATATATATATATATATATATATATATATATATATATATATATATATATATATATATATATATATATATTTTTTTTTTTTTTTTTTAATCCTCTTCACCACTGATCGGCTTGTTAGCCGCTTGGGCGATCGGTCACGTCTCTGTCACACACTGCTGGCAAGTACTATTCATGTACTGGCTCTCTGTTACGCACTGTTGGCAGGTACTGGGCATGCACCGGCTCCTGAATGTACCTGAACTTGCTCCAGTGTTGGTCAAGTCTGGTCTTGAAAGAACTCACACTCGGTCTCGGTGCCGTCAGAACACTTTCTTTGGCAGATTGTTCCAAGAGTTCACAACTCTCACTCCGAAAAAGTTTACCCTCACATTTTTCTGGACTTGCGGCTTCTTCAATCTTGAGCTGTGACCCCTTGTGGGGCGAGCGTCCGCCAGCTCCAAGTAAGGACACTCGACTGAGTAGTGCCCCTTGAGATGCTTATACACCTCAATTAGGTAGCCCTGCCCGTCTGTAGTTTAAAACTTGATAAATCACTATGAAATGTTACAACTATATTTCTGAAGTTCCTTATATCGTACATATATTAACAGACCTAAATAGTGTCATGTAAGTGAAACCAAATATTGTAAGATACAAAACTAACAGAAAACAACAATTTACCGTAAGGTGCTCCTCTACTTAAGAACGTTCAACTTCCAAACATCTCCCATAACCCCACAAATGGTGACCCCCGGAGATTCGCACACACAGGATGGAGGAGAAACCGATCACTCTCCCAGTCTTCAAGCAACATGGAAGACTGGCTTACCAACGCAGAGGCAGCTCTCATCGGCTCTACAGCTACTGTCTCTACACCGCAGGTTAGACACCCTAGTGCAGCTCTGCGACTCTAAGCAGACAGCCGCTCCTCTTCCTGCCTCAAGCACCACGTCCTACCGACCCCAACACACCCGTCCTGCCTCAGACGCCGCCCCGGCCCAGCAGTACCCCCTGCCGCCCCTCCTGACGCGACCCCTGCTCCTGACGCGGACCCACACACCCCTCTTTTCTCCCTCAGGTACCCCCTGCTACTGTCCTTCACCCTGCTGCTGTCGTGGGCCCAGCTGCTGTCACGGACTCTCCTCCGCTCCTGCTGACGCAGCCCCTGCTTCTGACCCAGGCCCACACACCCCAGCAGGCGCATCTGACGACTCTGTACCTGCCGTGAGGGAAGCATAACATTCATCGCCTCCACACACCCTTTTTCTCCCTCTCTACTCCCACAGATATTGTGTATCTAGACAGTTGTCTCCTCTAGCGGCCGGCTCATCCACGCCCTCGCCGTTATGGCTCACATGTGGAATGCACCGCCCGTTCTGCCTCACGTGTGGAATGCACCGCCCGTTCTGCCTCACATGTGCCATGCAACCTTGCAGACAACAAGTCTCATACACCGCCTGGAGGGAAGGAGGGAGTACTGTAGTGGATACCTCCCCTACAAACGCTGTTTGTCGCTGAGTAGCCGACCCCGCGAATTCCCCAGTGTATGCCTCGTGGTCTAGGTCAACCAGCGCCGCCTGACATGACGGAGGTCAACTACTAAGCCACGCCTACCTCCGCTATTTAAGACCTGACCTCGTGGTGACCGCTCTTTTCTTCTAGCTACAGCCGCAGCAAGCAACACCACCTCCGCCGCTGCCTGGCGGCCCTCGCTTCCGCCGGCGAGCATGGCGACCCACAAACTGGTCCTCCTCTGAGCATCTTCACCAACCAGCTCTCTCTACATCACGCTTGTAACCACGTTGCCACTTACCAGCACCAAGCTGCACTGTACATCCAATACAATATGTATACAGAGAGCACATTGTGAGTTTCCTTTCTCCATCCCATCCTGAGTGCGAACCAACATCTCGTACCCCACAATACAAACATCATCACTGAGGGGGTTACCTGCCAGAACAGGCGTTTAATGTGGATGAGACTGGATTATTTTTAAGAAAATTCCAGATAGAACAAACATTACCTAAGAGGAGAAGAGTAGGCTAGGTTTTCAGGGTGTATTAAAGGGTATAGCTGTTAAGGTAAACAGCTCTGAAACAATAAACCTAGGAAATAATACAGGAAGAATTACGAAGATTGACATTTTCCACTAGTAGACCTGAAGATGCTGAAAAGTAAAGTGGAAACTTTATGTGGATGTACAAGAGATAGACGAATCAGACAAGAAAAAACAGGGATGCTTTGAAAAGTAAAAAAACAAAAATAGAGTAATAAAAAAAAGATGAATTAAGACTACTGTTGTATCCCATTCAAGAGATACATTTTCTATGGACATGACAGTTCATATAACACAGCTGTCTCGTTTATACAGCTGGTTCGAGGCCTCACTACTCCCTCCAACAGTCCCACTATGAGATTGTAATAAGATCAGTATTTTTAAGCCACTTAGCATATTCCATACTCAATGATCAGCGCACCTTACTCCACCTAGGTTTGAAGGCTGCGAAACGACATTCGGTGCATCGTCATTCGCCCATGATAACTTTATTAGCAAAGATATCATGTTACATGTTTTGCTCATTTAGGTAATCTCTGTAGTATTGAATACAAAAGTGATTTAAGCATACATATATTGGTTTAAATACACCGGAGATGTGTGATCTTTATGATACATCATACACCAATCTGAGACAAAACTTTTTTATTATAGACGCATGGAACAACTTACCACAAGTGGTTACGTCTCCCCTAATAGTTACCAAGAGAAAGTACCTGGACAGGCAGTGAACAGATCGAGATGCAAACATACAGTACTAGCTCAACCTTAAGCATAATTATGAACAGCGTCACTTGCTCTTCTCATTCATAATCGATTTTGTTCCACAAATAAATGAAGACTAAGATAATATATAGTATATGAAGGCCTGACGCCTTCTTCCAAAATATACGTCAGGGAACGGCATGCCCTCACTTTTTCCTCTGTGACAGCTTGCCACTTTTGATAGTGTTTTTTTTAATGCATTATTTCCGCCCTTACCTACCTGTAGGCTCCGCTTCCCGGAACCCGGCATACTAAATATCTCGGTTCTAGGTCGTTTGCAATGGAAATGTCATGGAAGATGTCTTAAAATTGTCTAACTTTTATCCTCTTCACCACTGCTCAGCTCGTTAGCCGTTTGGGCGATCGGTCACGTCTCTGTTACACACTGTTGGCAAGTATTGGGCATGCACCGGCTCCTGAATGTACCTGAACCCGCTCCAGTGTTGGTCAAGTCTTGTCTTGAAAGAGCTCACACTCGGTGCCGTCACAACATTTTATGGTAGATTGTTCCAAGAGTTCACAACCCTCACTCTGAAAAAGTTTGCCCTCGCAGTTTACTGGACTTGGGGCTTCTTCAATCTTGAGCTGTGACCCCTTGCAGGGCGAGCGTCAGCCAGTTCCAAGGACGCACTCGACCGAGTAGTGCCCCTTGAGATGCTTATACACCTCAATTAGGTAGCCCCTTGCCCGTCTGTAGTATAAGCTAGGCAAGTTCAGGCGCTCCAATCTCTCGGGTAGTTGAGGTGCTGAAGTGCAGGCATCAGTCTGGTGGCCCCCCCTTTGAACATTTTCAATCAACTGACAGTCCCTAGCATATCTCGGGGACCAGACAGGGTGACAGCATTTCAGACGGGGAATCACTTCAGTCTTGAAGATCGTTACGAGGTACGGTCCGTCTAGATATCTGAACTACCTTCTTATAAGACCTAATAATTTAGTTGCTTGATTTACCTTCTTCTCGCAATGGCCCGAGAACTTCAGCTCATTGTCAACATACACACCTAGGTCCTTTTCACATTGTCTCAATTAATGAAGTCTCTGGCACTAGCGTAGCTGGGGGTGGCTTTTGTCTGACAACAGTAAGGGCTTTCAAAAGTTACGGACATAATTAAATAGTTGAGGGTAAAATATACTGTTCTTCTCTGTGGTTAATTATTGGTTAGGTTAGGGTTAGGTTAAGTTAGGTTAAGTTGGGTTAGGGTTGTCAGACAAAAGCCACCCCGATCAAAGTAGGGGGCTTTCGTCAGGGGGGCTTATGTCAGACATCCATTTTCACTGTACTCTGAGTCTGTAATTTTAGATTAAGTTGCTACTTTTTACATTTCCATTGTATTACATTGATACTAGTGTCATTATACCGTGATTTTAGATCAAGCTGTTTGCTACTTCCTATCTGTCTCCTACTATTCAGAACGAGTTTATAGAAATTTTGGGAGAAAACGTAAGAAGCAAAGTCATCAAGCAAGTAAAAGAAGCAAAGTACTTTTCCATGATATTCGACAGCACTCCTGATATTTCACATAAGGATCAAACGAGCCAAGTTTTACGCTATGTTATGATCGATTGAGATAAAGTGAAGGTTGTGGAATCATTTGTCGATTTCATTGAAACAAAAGGTAAAACCGCCGAGAATATTTCAATGATGATTTTGGAAAAATTAGAGAAAGACGGAATTGATATTCAAAATTGTAGAGGGCAAGCATATGATAATGCTGCGGTGATGGCTGGTGTTCATACTGGTGTTCAGAAACGTATCAAGGAAATTAATAAAAAAGCAGAATTTGTCGCTTGTACAAATCACTCGCTGAATTTGGCGGGTGTTCATGCAGCTTCTGTTGCTGTGGATTCTCTTACCTTATTTTGTCTACAGTATTGTATATTTTCAGCCTCTGGCTGCTGTGCTTTTCAATAAACCATGAATTATTATTATTATTATTATTATTATTATTATTATTATTATTACACACACAGATTTACAGAGTCTGAGCAACAAGATAGGCAGATATAAATATGTACAGGTAACACCAAAATAATGATACAGGTATTATGTACAGGTATCTTTGGTCAGTGTAATAAGACAAGTGTCATCTACAGAGTGACTTTACTATGCAAACACAACATACATAGATAACAATGGAATGGCACTTATAAAGTCATGGGAAAAGTAACAGCCACGTATTTTTGAAAAAGAGTATTATACAACAACAAAGTTTACACAGACATCTTAAGAAAATACATACCACAAATATTACAATTTAGTTCTATAATACATGTGAATCAACACTGGGAATAGATCGGTATTTATGGAATGATTGAAAGTTCAGTTTAAAAAAAAAAATTCAATCACGGGTTTTATTTCAAATGAATTTTCCTCCAGTATGTTTGGAAAATTTCATTCAGTGCAAAGACTAGATTGACGGAGCATTTCTGTAACAGAATAATGTATCAGATCTGGGTAACATATGTTGACAAATATTTGTATATAAAGAGCTTAGGCGATACAAATTTATCTCGGATATGTAAAAACTCATAGAGTATTTACCTTAGTATCAAAATGTTCCGTAAAAAAGCACTTGTATGGAAATATTGTATAACAACTTACTGTACATGTAAGTTAGCACAGCTTTGGTTTTAAAATAAGAACAGATTTTTGGTGCTGTCGGTCTACATTACATAGGACTGTTTGCAGGCCAATACATATGGTAAACATTGCATTATGTATTTCACTAGGTACAGTATCATGATAATCCTATACTGTAGTCATATTTTACGAATTCTGAACTCTAATGAAGACCTAAGCAAAGCCAAATTGCACACACATCATATATCATAATCACACAATAGGCAAGTTGAATGTCTTAAGAGTTAACTTTACCCACACTGACATTTTGGTCACTCTGTACAACACTTGTTTTTCAAATGCCCGTAAAACCATAGGGAGCAGTACAGTACAACATACAACACTACAAAAACAGATTTATAGATATTAAACTTTAAAAATTTAAATAATAATAATAATAAAAAAGATTCTGAACAGCAACACTACCATATTAAAACAATATTATCTACAACAATGAAACTGGAGGTAAAATTATAATGTATTGTACATGAACTTTATATTCCCCCGAGTTCAGCAAACAATATCAAATAAAATTTATAAAATTCACGTTACTATTACACTCCTAAATTCCATAAAATAACAGTCCTTAAATTTTCTCGCAAAAAAAGGAAAAAATAAATAAATAAATAAAGTACAAATAAAGGCTAGCCCATAAAGTAACGTACAGAACATTCAAAATTTGACTGGAGATATGGACAACATGGACCTGAGTGTTTGTGAGCCTTACACACTACAATGTCTATTGTGGCAAGTCTTAGCTTACATTACTATAACACCAGCAACACAACCACCCATCACAGAGGCAGTGGTGTCAAGCTGTTTCCACCAGCTGGCTTGTAACACCTGGGTTTCAGTCAATTAATATACAGTACATCCCTTGGTTTTTTAACCCAAGCCTATGGTTTGGTTTCTGTCATGTTTTTATTGATTGGTTTCTATCACTCTTCGTCATCTACAATAACTATCACCATTATATAGTTGTTGCATTAGTCACTACCTATCAGTCAGTCTGTGTCACAGTACACCAATCAATACTGTTATCTCCTTGCTTGTCTCTACCAATCACTGTCCACCTAACCATGTTAAATTATTGGGCTATGCCAGTCAGTCCACTCAATCTGTACCAGTTAATTTAAACAAGTCACTGTCTACTTGTTGGTCTATACCCATCATTGTTTTCTTGTTCATCTCTATCAGTCACTTTGTCTATCAGGGGTGCACCCAGAAATTTAATGGTGAGGTAGGGGTGGGAGGGAAAGTAGGCCTACCCATCTTTTTTTTTTCTGTGTGTGTGTGTGTGTGTGTGTGTGGGAGGGGTAGGGGGTTGCACTATTACATGCAGTAAAGTATATGCAAAGCACTGGGAACTTCTTCAGTGGTAAAAATGTTTTGTAAATTTAAGATGGTGCCTGGAAAAAGAGGTGAGCAGGGATGTACCCACTGTGTCTTACCCTTGGTGTGCCCCTGCGTCCATCAATCAATATCAGCAGTATGTAGCAACAAATTCATCAGATCGTAGACATACAAGTATCAATTATCTGGACTTATCCATTTGTGAACTATCAGCCAAACTCTGTAAAGCCAGTTAGTAAGAATTAACTGGTCTCATTTAGTCAGTGCCGACCAGTTAGTAGTACATGTAGTTACACAGCAATAGCTACTGCTTGGTCTCTAACAGTTAGTTTTTCCCCTGATTTAAGGAACAATATTCAACACATTGTTTATTTTCTATGTAAACTCAAGGTACTCTCCCTGACAACCTACCACAAACTGCTCCTAAAATACTGGAATCAAGTTCATGAAAAAAGACTTACTCTAATTATGATTTCCTTTGTCAGTGAGAGTACCTATTAAGACGTCTACTCATAATATTTCGTAGTTCTGAAAACAAAATGCATGGACAGTACTATATATATGTATACAATACAGTATATATTTGCCCACTATTTATTTTGAACATATGTAAATACTGTAGTGATAACGTTTCATCATAATGGAATGTTAAGAACTGCATTTGGTCTATAAATGGTAAATGGTAGTAGTATAGTATCTGTACCACGCCCATCTAGTTCTAGAAATGCCCTTGTACAATAGTACATAATAATCCGAGTTGTAGCTCAGTATTAACAGGTAGATAGTGCCAAGCATGGCCATACTAAGTAAATTCTCATTCAAACTCGTACACTGAAACTCAAGACCATTTTAACCTACATAACAGATAACAGGATGTGGATGCATTCAGAGAATTGTCTTTATTTGAAACTACTGCAAAATTACTTACCTGAAGTTAATTTCTAGACAGGGATACACAACAATGCCTCTTAGGAGCAGTCACATGAACTGTTGAGTCAATATACAGTATACAGGTACTTACTTAGGGAATGAAAATTATCACAAGGTTTATGGCAGTACAGTAACATAGATTATGCTATTATTTTCTACATTTACTTGTCTTTATATCAAGTAATTAGTTACATGGAAATAAGAGACTCTTTCATTTATACAGTACAATAATCACAATGCATTACAGATGATTGGAACATTTTCTTTTGTTTGCAATTGTACAGTACCCATAGAGCAGGATTTAATGATGCAGTAATACATCTATTGTAAATATAAATGCTGAATACCTGCTTTGAACAGATATGAATGATGAATATTTTGAATCTTAAAAAGGGGAGGGTATAGTGGTAATGTGTGTATCTCTCTATCTCTCACCACTATAGGTCTTGGGGTCAAGCCCTAGCCTGGAACAGATGTGAGATGGGTGTTGCCCTACCAAACATTGTAATTTTTCTCTGGGTACTCTGGTTTCCTTCTATACTGTACTAACACTGAATAATAAAGGTCATGAGAAGGTAATAAAAGAACAGAATACATTGCCTGAACAGTTAGTAGAGTAAAATTGATTAAGTGATGAAATGATAAATACATGTAGATGTTGAGTACTGTACTGTATGTTCCACCTGTGCCCTGAACTATGGCGTCACTTTTTGTCTTCCATATATAGTTTACCTTTTATATCAATTCTCAAGCATTTCGATTCCTATTTATTAAGGCTGACTGAAGCATTTGAAAATGTCTTTAAAAGTTATTACCCCAACACAATATTGTTTATTTAAAATTCATAAAAAAAATAACAAATCAATTTCTCTTAAGAACTCAAATCCTTTTAAGTACAATGTGTCAAACCTTCCATACTTGATTCACTACTCCAGTATTACTGTATTGATAGGAACACTGCAAATAACCCTAACAATACAGTACTACAGCATGCATACCTGTACCTACAGTATAATATCAGATCACTTTTACTGATAATTCATAATGATATTCAATGTCCCTCATTGATAAATCTACTTTTACTGTGCAGTATAACAGGTAATTATGTTTTTATCTCACTGGAACTTAAAATAACCAGCTTTTATCGTCTCACTATTCATCATCACAATAAGATCTATGACTAAGATTACCTGGTATAATATATACTTTCCCTCCAAAACAATAAAATTTTTGTAAAATCAGTACAGTATTTTATGATTACACTATATCAGGTGTTACACTATTTATAATATAAAAATTGTGTACAGTATTAGCTGCATACTTTTCTCTATTTCTAATTCATGTACAATGTGATGACAACTTACAGGATACTGTACTTATGCATTTTTGTTACTCTACACATCCAGCAACTCCATATTCCTTATATATTTTCCAGAGATCAGATTCATGGACAAACAGTACAGCAATTCACTCAGATACCTACAAGTCCTCCGCCTTATTAACACCTGCACCATTTCCTGTTACTTGTGACTGAAAATTGTCATTTGGGAAAGACAAAGATGAAAACAACAAGACCAAAAATTTGATTACCAATACTAAATTTACTCAATAGATCAACAGAATCACAAACTAAATGACTAAATTTGCTCACTAAAAATAAAAGCATTATGTATACTGTACTGTACTGTACTGTACTTACCTTATAACAGGAGGTTACCACTGAACTGTTGGTATCCTTTAGGGAAGTAAAGTGCCCTAACCTGGGGACTTATCAATAGTGGAAGGCCCAGTGCACAATACATTAACATCATGCCACAGGATATACCAGCATGCCAGTGAATAGCATAATACAGTGCAGTACCGTGGGAAATACCACTCTGATACTTTACCCTCTTTGCCACTAGGGTGATTGGTCATGTCTATGTTGTGCACTGTTGATAAGTACTGGCATGTACTGACTCCAGAATATACAGTGAATAACTCCATGATAATACTGTCTGGCTTTGTTTCTTGGACAGTGATCTCACAGATAATGAATGCAAACTATTTTCTTATAACTTATGGTGTCTGATGTCATGAAAAGGATTACTGTACTTAATTCTGAACACAAATGAGAACTGTTCCATACATGCTATTAACTTCACCGGACAGATGAAAACTATGTGTTTGAGTGACGTGGCAGGAATAAGCAGAAGACCAATGACTATGAAGAAAAACTTAAGGGAAGACAGTTGTATGAAACAAATAATTTAATAAAAATATGGTGACCCAAGATTGAATAGGTACTTAGGGCTATCGTACTTGGTAACTAATGCTGCCGAGATAAAAAAATTAATGCCTTTTAGATAAATAGAAGTGTACAGACATTAACAGTTGAGCCCATAATGTGTAAGAAGGAGGGACAGAGTTTACAGTTGTAATACTTTGGTCTTATAGCTTACATGTGACCCTCAAAAAATTAATTAAGATAGTGGAAGAGCTTTTTTTTTCTCCTGAGAAAGTGAATCAAAGTACTTTTACATTACAGGAACATTTTTCATGCAGTCTCATTTACTTATATGAAATTATCCTCATCAAAATGTAATGACTCCTACAATGTCAATAATCTCCATTAAATAATGTATAAATAATATTAAAGTGAAATTTAAGTACAAAAGACTCACAGGAAAAATGTTTATCAGAACATGATAACATTTCATCTCACTCTTTTACATACAAAAACAAAAATGATGGTTGAAGGAACTACCTCTAACCAACTTATCAATGTCACTATAAAAATTTTCTTTATAATATTATAACCTCACTTTCCTTATAAAATGTCTAATATAATAGGGAGGAGGACCACAGGTGTTGGTGCTCAGCTGTGGTATAAACACTTCATCTATGACTACTACTTTGTCAATGTCAACTGCAGTTGTTGATGAACTATCATAGTGCAGTGGGTGATGGACCAAGCTAAGAACATGAAGATTTGCATAGACAATTCCTTATGTAGTTATGTATCGCATATTTCATATGTCCATAACAAATTAATTGTTTGTTCTTACAGCAATAAATGACAAGCATTCCATCCTTAAATTAAACACAGGGACTGCCATTAAGCAATCACACAGACTCTTAAATCACTCTAAATACCGGTATTTTCAATCAAATTGCATCATTGACTATTGCAAACATTTGCACCTAATAAATATCAATAAACATCCATTTTGTCTTCTCTAAACATTCACTGATTTCAGAGTATACAAAAGATCTTGTACTGAGTGTATTCTTCTCTCAGCCGGAGTGTTTGGCTCTGAGCTATGATATGATATCCTCTCACCTCCACCTGGACGTCTTCCTCCTCCACTCCGACCTTGATCCAGAGAAACCATTTCTGAGTCTGGGGTAGGAGTGTCTTCAGTTATCTCATCAGCATTAGCATTAGAAGATGACAGCACCCGGCGAAGGGGGAGTGATAAGTTTGCTCTGGAAGGTCTTGAGGATGTTGGATGACTGGATGCAGAGCTGTCAGTCAGGGAAGGACCCATGTGGACAATCGCTTCAGTGAGAGTAACATTTCCATTCAGGTCTGATGCATCTGGAAGGCGAGATGGCACCTCCTGTTGGGGTTCAATAGAATTGGAAGGTATTGGTGTGGCTGCAGCATCACCATCACAACCTGGCAGTGTCTCATAGCAGTGTTCAGCCTCAGCTTCACCATCTTGGCATTCACTAAGTTGGGAAGGGAGAGGATCATTGTCATTATGATGAGTCCTCCCCCCAGGGTGTATATGGTGTATGTGATGAAGAGGGTGTAAGGGGTGGAGGGGGTGGAGCTGTCTGATAGAATGTAGGGTTAGATTCTGATTGAATGTTGACTGGGGAGTTGATGGTGTATTATCTCTTTGACTTGGTGAAGATGGTGAAGGACCAGAAGTAGTTGGTGTGTAACAAGAGTAAGCATCAGTATCAGTTATCATGGGAGATGTACTGGACATATCTGTCAAAGGAGACACTACACTGTATGTATTTTCAGTCTCTGCAGCAAGACTGTGATCAGATGATGAAGTGTGAACAATCATGGTATCATCAGATGCATGGTGGGAGCTGTCATCATCCTTCTCACGAACTTGTTCATATGTGTGATTCAAAGAAGCATCTAATATCTCTTTGTCACTTGGAGATGGAGTATTCTGACTAGCAGAGCTAGTTGGTTCTGAGTAGTACAACATCTCATCCCCATCTTGTCTGACTGATATACACGACGAGACATCAGCAAAATATAATTCTGATTCTTGTTCCATTTTTCCACTAGTATAAACCACTTTGGGATCACTGATGCTTTTGATGTGCTTTGTGCGGTAAGCCTCTCGTGGCACATCAGCCTGAGACTGGAATTTATCAAGAGGTGCAATGTCCTTCCCATCACAAAATAAAACCTCCAGAGGTTCATCATGTTTATGTTCATTCACATCTCCAAGTGACTTGACATGACCCAGAGGAAGCCTCCTGTTGCGGTGCCTGGAAGGAAGTGAGCTGGATCCGCCCAGAGTTCCTCCTTGTTCAGTAGGCCCTCCCTTGTGACGTCCGCGCGTCACACGCTGGTTTTGAGAAGGTGAGCTTAACATTTCTGAATCATCACTGGGGGAAGACAGTGTGTTACTGGTGGGACTGGCTGGGCCATTCATCAGGTCAGCCAGTGTTGGGGGACGACGAGCTGGGGAAGACCTTATAGCCTGAGCTACTAATCCTTGCAGAGCTGTAGGTGAAGTGGGTGAATTTGGGTGATGATGTGGTGACATTTGCATGGCCAAGTTTTCTGCAGAGGTGGGCTGAGAATAGGGTGGTGGAGGGCCCCACATGTATCTGGGGAAGGCTTCCTGGTATGCCATGGGTGGTAAGTAGGCCTCTGTGAATGGTGGTGGGTAGCGGGGCAGCTGAAGTACCACACCTGGGTCAGAGAGTGGGCGGCGACTGTGGTGGGTAGTGGGATGTTGACGACGGAGGCCCAAGCGACTCTCAAGACCCCGAGGCAGGAATGGCCGCAGAAGGACGCCAGTTACTTGTGCTCGAGTGTCTTCACTGTGGAGAACATAATGAAGATTAAAATTCAATTTTAAATGCTTTTTCATTTTTTCTTACATTTTCCTAATGCAAAGTGGCCTGAATTAAGAGCAATCATAGCTTCTCCTTTCATTCCCTGGCATTTAATCATTATCATTACAGTACTAAAACAGATGTGTTCTACTATGGTAGTCCTCTATGACTATGGTTTTCTCCTGGAAATTTACACAATCTAGTTGTAGCTGCCATTAAATTTACAATGCAGGTACTGTACAGTAGATCAAATCTTATGTGGTGAGAGTACAGTATTACAAAAGTGGTGCCTGAACCAAGATATAAATACTGTACTGTAACTACTACTGTACACATGGCAATGTGATCAGATTGCTGTTACTTCCTACAAATATGAGTTGATCAGCCCATAAAGAAATTAGATTCCAATACAAACTCTTCATAGATTTTGACAGTAGATATAAGTGAGGGGAACATACAGGAACACTATGTTTTCGTACCATCTAGGAAGTAACAACAGAACTGAGGATGTAATGTGTTTAGTAAAAAAAATAAATAACCAGGGCTATTTTCCCAAAAATAAGTTATGGTAGTCAATTGTTTTTATCCTCTTCTGGGCTATATGTAAATTGTTATTACAGTGCTGTATTATTATTATTATGTTTATTTTAATCATTTCACCATTTATCAACTTACTACCACTTCAGGTAATAATAATAATTATAATAATAATAATAATAATAATAATAATAATAATAATAACAGTAATAATATTATTTATTCAATAAAACTGTCATACAGATTTACAATTGGACAGACATGTTTAAACTATGCAGCATGAATATAGACAATGCAGGTACAGGGTACACAGAGTACTGTACTGTACTGTACATAGGCCATGAGTGTACAATTTCGTATGTGCCCAGACAATGCAGGTATACAACAACAGTAAACTTTGTTATAAACTTCATTGTCCAGAATCAGTACCTGTACAGTACCACCTTACCTCTGAGTATTATCCCCAGTAGTGGCTGTGGTACCAGAGTTTGCCTCCACTGGGGTGACTGCTTGTTGTTGCTGGGGTGCTGCACCACCGTGAGCTCCCCAACCACTTCCCCAGGGCAGCCAGAGAGGTCCTTGGCCCTGGGGTGTGGCAGTCCCCAGCAGTACAGAACGAGATGCATTCGATGAGTCTTCTGCGCCCGGGGTGTAAAACTGACCCCCTGCCCAGTATCTGAAAAGCAAATTAATTATCATTTTACTGATATAACATGGATAATTTTTTAACCATTCATTCTAGGAATACTTTTATCGAGTTAAAGAACAATGCCAATTAAACTTGACTGACATCCAATTATCCAACATCTCTATGAGTTACAAGAAAGAAAATTATAAGGACGTCCAGTTACTTTATTCCATTATATATGAAGGTAATTATAGAGTACAGTACTAACATACAACTACAGTATTCCATAATATTTTGTAAGTTTGACAATATTAATTTTCTAGTCATCAAATTATACCATTGTTACACATGGAACTTGGGTCTTTGAGAAAGATTATTATGAAAGAAAAAAGAAAACCATAGATGTTTAGGAAAGACCAAGTTCTTGCCACCCAGGATCTGGATTCACTTAGTAGAGTACAGTACAGTAAAGTACAGTATATTGTACGTGAGTCTCAACTCTTTTCCATAATTGGGGATAAGAGAACAACCACCTAGTTTCAATGTCTCAAAACAATTTAAATTATCCTCCCGTCATCATAGCTTAAGGTAGAGATAGTTAGGTGCATTCTAAAATGTCTATTGAACAAGAACACTGGATATTTTAACCTCTAAGGATTCAATTACTGATTTACAGCTGTCCAGTACATGCAAGTGGAAATGATCAGACAACTTTAGTGTACAGGTTAATGAAATAAGCTGTTTGCAAGGTGCATGTTGTCAGCAGATAAGAGTACAGTACCAAACTATATACAATATTGTGGGTGGCTGTGAGCTTCAAATATATTGGCATGTGACGCCATGAACAAGTCTGGGGAAATAATGACGAGTTAAATGGGCCCGAGCCCTAATGGGAAGCGATTCTAAGAGGAACTAACCCTAATGGACCCATTATAATGACCTTTAGTTCTAATAACACTGAATTCATTTTAACACAAAGTGCAGATCCCTTTAATAACACAATGATTGTTACACCAAGTCAAATTAAAGGATCATATGAAGATCTTCCCCCCCAAAGTATCCAACTGAAGATCCTCCCCCCCAGGCTAGATCATATGAAGATCTTCCCCCCCAAAGTATCCAACTGAAGATCCTCCCCCCCCCCCAAGTGGGGGGGAGGTTAGGTTAGGTTAGGTTAGGTTTGGTTAGGTTAGGTTAGGTTAGGTTTGGTTAGGTTTGGTTTGGTTTGGTTAGGTTAGGTTAGGTTTGGTTTTGGTTAGGTTAGGTTAGGTTAGGTTTGGTTTGGTTATGTTAGGTTAGGTTTGGTTAGGTCTTCAGATGAGCGCGACTGGGCTTGATCATATGAAGATCCTCCCCCCCAAGTAGGTTTGGGGGGGAGGATCTTCATATGATCCAAATTAAAAGTACTGTACAGTACTGTACTTTTCCCAGGTAGTGTCCTTTTTTTCATGTACCCTATACAGTATATATATATATATATATATATACGTGTATATATATATATATATATATATATATATTTGATAAAATCACGGGAAAATGGAAACAACAGATATAGCAACAAATATTTATTCAAGACATCTTCAGTTGCTCTGAGATGTCTTGAATAAAACAATACGTACTCATTGTGGATTTACATGAAATATATATATATATATATATATATATATATATATATATATATATATATATATATATATATATATGCAAGTAAATCACTGTAGGTCCGCGTGATCTAGGTATATGCTGATAACCACAAGGAAAGAAGAAAACACGAAGTTCCCAAGCGCTTTCATGTAATTCACATCTTCAGGGGTGAGGACAGACTAGAGAGAAATACAAACCAAGGTGTACAGTATATATACAGAGGAGGGTGAGACCAGGTCCACAATGGTCAGGTATTAGGTAATGACCCTACTAATCTAATGCCTCCTCAATATTACCATGTAATTCAATTGATAGTAGGAACATCATAGAATCTAGTCTTATTAAACATACAGAAGCATTCAACATGAATTTGAGTAACGGCATGTACAAGCTGGACAATTTTGTAATTAAGAAGATTTGTAACCAGGTGAGAAGGCCGGGTCACCTGACCATCTGACCTGACCACCAACCGTTGTGTGCTATTTAAAGATTAGTAGGGTCATTACCTAATACCTGACCATTGTGGACCTGGTCTCACCCTCCTCTGTATATATACACCTTGGTTTGTATTTCTCTCTAGTCTGTACTCACCCCTGAAGATGTGAATTACACGAAAGCGCTTGGGAACTTCGTGTTTTCTTCTTTCCTTGTGGTTATCAGCATATATATATATATATATATATATATATATATATATATATATATATATATATATATATATATATATATATATATATATATATATATATATATATATATATATATTTTTTTTTTTTTTTTTTTTTTTTAACGTCTTCACCACTAATCGGCACGTTAGCAGCTTGGGTGATCGGTCACGTCTCTGTTACGCACTGTTGATAAGTACTGGGCATGCACTGGCTCCTGAATGTACCTAAACCTGCTCTAGTGTTGGTCAAGTCAGGTCTTGAAAGAGCTCACACACTCGGTGCCATTACAGCACTTTCTGGCAGATTGTTCCAAGAGTTCACAACTCTCACTCCGAAAAAGTTTGCCCTTACAGTTTTCTGGTCAGCTTACTAGCTGGCCGGGCAGTCAGTCTGTTATCTGGTGTGTATGGGAAAAGGGGAGGCAGGGTGGGGTATGATGGGGAAAGGAGGAATGAAACAGGTTAGGGAAGAATGTTTATACAGCTCGACCTGTTGTTGCTATCACCCCCAGAAAGTGCTTAGAGGGAAAGATGAGTCAGATAAATAAACACATAAGAGAAACAAGAGGGAGGGAAGAAGGATGAAGGAGGTAGTAAAAGTGGGGAGAGGTTGAGAAGAAAGTACAATCAGGAGTGTGTAAAGGGCGAGGGGAGGGATGGAGCATGATTTACATGCACATATCTTTGTATACTCTCTCTCTCTCTCGCGTGGGGTGTGGGTGTGTGTGGGGGGTGGTGTGTGGGGTGTGGGTGGTGTGTGGTGGTGTGTGTGTGTGTGTGTGGGTGGTGTGTGTGTGTGTGTGGGTGTGTGTGTGTGTGTGGGTGGTGTGTGTGGTGTGTGTGTGTGTGTGTGTGTGTGTGGTGTGTGTGTGTGTGGTGTGTGTGGGTGTGGTGTGTGTGTGTGCGTGGTGTGTGGGGTGTGTGTGTGTGTGGGGTGTGTGTGTGTGTGGGGTGTGTGTGTGTGTGGGGTGTGTGGGGTGTGTGTGTGGGGTGTGTGTGTGTGTGTGTGGGGTGTGTGGTGTGTGTGTGTGTGTGGGGGGGTGTGTGTGTGGGGTGTGTGGTGTGTGTGGGGTGTGTGGTGTGTGGGGTGTGTGGTGTGTGTGTGGGGTGTGGTGTGTGTGTGGGGGTGTGGTATGTGTGTGGGGTGTGTGGTATGTGTGGGGTGTGTGGTATGTGTGGGGGGTGTGTGGTGTGTGTGTGGGGGTGTGTGTGTGTGTGGGGTGTGTGTGTGTGGGGGGGGGTGTGTGTGTGTGGGGTGTGTGGTGTGTGTGTGGGGGGTGTGTGGTGTGTGTGTGGGGGTGTGTGGTGTGTGTGTGGGGGTGTGTGGTATGTGTGGGGGGTGTGTGGTATGTGTGGGGGTGTGTGTGGGGGTGGGGGGTGTGTGGGGGTAGGTGTGGGGTGGGTGGGTGTGTGTGTGTGTGTGATTGATTTTTTTTTTTGCCGCTTACAGCGGCTACTTTATTGTGCACCCCACACTCATCCTGTGAGCGGTAGCGCAAAAGGATTACAGAGTAAAGTTTACAAAGGGTCATAATAATTTACCCCCGTTGTCAGGATATTATGGCACTGAATGTTACACATTATTTGTTTAGTTCTATACATAAAGGGTAACTTATTCACAAATGCGTGAGTACAGGCGTGTGAGGCAGTATGTCTGGCCTCACACTTTGTTATTCACATTTACGTGAGAGGTATTCAAGCACATTGCGCATTTGGTTCTGTACATGAGAATTGATATAGTTACTAAGTGAAAAAATGTGGATACAATCTTAATATGTTGGCTATCTTGCCATTAGAGATGAAGTGTTGTGCCATTTCACACACAGTGTGCTTGGACCTGTCCCTAAAAGGTTCTATCTTCACACAGTCGAGGACGTAGTGTTCAAGTGTGTGGCCATATGTATGGCCACACACTTTACATTTAGTTTTGTTTACATCTGCTTGAGGAACATACTGCCAAAGGTACTTATATCCTAACCTTAATTTAGCGGTTACAACATCTTGTAATCTAGTGAACTTGTTACTTGCTCCATATACAAGTTTCACTTGATACATCTCATCATGGTAACCTATGGATCGACTAGTGCCTGTTTGCACTTGTCTACTTGCATCAAACTCATCAATAAGTTCTTTCCTAATTACAGTTTTAAGGGTTCTTTTTGACAGACCCAAATTGTATTCAACGGTGTCTTTGTTAGACGCGAGTTTGGCGAGGGCATCAACTCTGTCATGTTTTATGAGGCCTATGTGAGAGGGGATCCACAACAGTTTGACCTTGACACCCCGGTCAACAAGGCACGCATATTTGTGTCTGGCTTCAGAGACAAGAGCGTAACAACCTGAGTCGAGGGTACCAAGGGCAAGTAGTGAGGATAGAGAGTCAGTGATGATGAGACTGTCAGTAACAGTGGTTTCAATGAATTTAATAGCTGTGAGTATGGCAACTAATTCAGTTTGTAGAGTGGATGCCCAGTTGTTAATTCTAACTCCTTTCTCAATTATATTACCGTCAGGTTGAGTCACAACAATAGCACTTCCAGCCCTCCCACAGGCGGTGTTAAGAGATCCTCAGTGTAGATGGTCTGTGTGATATTATCATCAGTCTGTAGAGTGTGTATGTGTTCAAGAGCTCTCAATTTGGCAGTGTGTTGGAGATAAATACTTTGTATAATTAATTTTTTAGGCGGATACGTCGGTATTGTGATATCGAAGGGAACTGTCCGCCAGGGTGGCAGGAAGCGCTGTTGTGTCTCAACTTTGTACAGGTGGTCTAGTCCAAACATCTTCATATGTGTAGCTGTAGTTTGGATCCATTTAGACTCAGTAGTCCCATGGTTCATACATTCTAGCAATTTTAAGGAAACAATGTTATCAGGATCACCACGCAGAAGCCTCAGGGCTATCATGAGGTTGACTTCAATTATTCTATCTTTAACACTGGGTATACCTAGTTCTTTCCTCATATTAAGTACTTTAGTGCTCATGGGACATCCTAGGATAATTCTGAGGGCTTTATTTTGCATTTTCTCGAGCTTGTCAACGCCTTTCCCGTCACGAATGACCAGGGCTGGTGCGTGGTAATCTATCAGAGATCTTATATAGCCTAGGTACATTGTTTTAACAATTCTAATATTAGCACCATAGTGCGGGCTGTACCCCGCTACACTTCTAAGAGGTCTCAGTCTGTCAGTACATTGGCGGGTTAGCTGTTGTATGGCAGGTAGGGTACAAGGGACGGAAACACCAAGATATTTAAAAGAAGAAACATAGTCAATAGTGTTGTTACCTATCTTGAACTTGGCGGGGCCGCGTTTGCGGTTACCAGCTTGTTTGTGTGTGTGTATGTGGGGTGGGTGGGTGTGGGGTGGGTGTGGGTGTGTGTGTGTGTGTGTGTGTGTGTGTGTGTGTGTGTGTGTGCGTGAACTAGCATCCAGGTGTCCTCTTTTCACCCACCCCAACTCACCTGTCATCGAGGGTGTCCCAGGGTGGCCAGGGGTAGAGCTCTGATGGAGGCACAAAACCATACTCGTCGCAGCAGGAACAAGCATTGGGCGCTGGGGCTCTGCGGTACAGTAGGCGTCGACGGTGCTCAAGCTGCTCCCAGTACATCTTCTTCTTCTCGTGGCTGTGGGGCGACATACATAATATATATCACACATTATGACATTTTTTACAAATCATACAATATGACACACTGTTAAACATCATATAATATGGCAAACTGTTATAAATCATACAATACGGCACATTATAATACATTATACTGTACAATACAGTACAGTTATACATCCTAAAATAGGATTAACTATCATGCACCCAACAGTACAGTACTGTACATCATACAATAGTTTATAAACCATCAAAAAACACAACATATGGGTTGTACAATATATACGGATGGACACACAGGTTAATATAATAAGTCTCTCTACACGCCTGAGACTCACAGCTCATACACAGCCCCACTGCCTGATTCTTGTTTCCAAGGATGCTGTTACTTTTAATCTCCTCGCCACTTTATCGGCTCGTTAGCCGCTTGGGCGATCGGTCACGTCTCTGTTACGCACTGTTGGCAAGTACTGGGCATGCACCGGCTCCGGAAAGTACCTGAACCTGCTCCAGTGTTGGTCAAGTCTGGTCTTGAAAAAACTCACACTCGGTGCCGTCACAACACTTTCTGGTAGATTGTTCCAAGAGTTCACACCTCTCACTCCGACAAAGTTTGCCCTCACAGTTTTCTGGACCTGCGGCTTCTTCAGCCTTGAACTGTGACCCCTTGTGGGGCGGTCCGCCAGCTCCAGGTAAAGACACTCGACTGAGTAGTGCCCCCTCAATTAAGTCGTCCCTTGCCCGTTGTTTTGTTGTTTTCATTGTTATGTTCTTGAACTGCCAGAGTTGTTAAGCACAGTTCTTTAAGATACGTTTTAAAAACAGCAAGTTAATATTGTACATATAAAAAATGCATTAAATGCTTGATGGGAAAATCAAAAGATTTTCCTAATTTATTCAAAATATGCAAACAACCCTCATTAAATATGCAAAATTTCAACACCAAGTACTGTAGATAGAAATGAATTCTTTCATAAAAACTACACAGTAAACCAGTAAGGGAATACTAATATTTACGGACACTGAATGGATATTGGGATCATCTTCTCCATTATCAAATTTTTCACATTACCAAGAGGGTTTGAGGGTAAGTATTATATCCTGCTGACATGCACACAGCATCCCAAAACACACCAACTATTCTTTTCTCTGTCAAGAAAATTAAAAATGCACATAGCCGATTTTTGGAATGTTGATTTAGATCACCTTAAGAATGGAGTCAAACCTAGCCTAATCCCCCAGGTAGCATAATTGAACACCTAGATCTTCAAGTTGGAGATTATGACACCCAAGCGTTTTAATTCTAAACTTGATGTTTCATGAGTTTGAGATTTTAAAACCTTTAATTTTAAAGAAGACATTTTGAGACTGGAGCATTGAAACCTTTAACTAATTAATGTCCAGAAATTATGGTCATGGTTTTGGGACATTTCGTTCTCCTAAGAGTTCTGAGACCTTGAAACTCATGGCCCCCTGAAGCCTGTCTGACACCTGCCCCGTCAAATATTCATCCCATCTAACACCCGCCCCATCTAACACTCACCCCATCTACAAACAATCTGGGAAAACGTTGAGACAGAGGTTGACAAGAGGTGCCCATTATGGATACTGCAGACCTGTAGTAGTAGTGGATCAGGGCGACGACACAGTCCCTCAGATAACATTCAAAGGGCGACAGGAGGTCATCAACCCCCCCCTCCCTCTCTCTCCTCCAGGGCACTTAACACCACCACTATCACCAGCTACACCCCCATTCACCACTGGTTACGACCTTCAGTACATTATCACCTCCTTGTCTTCACCATCTTCATTATGGAAAGGTGATTATCTTCAACTGAGTGACGAGGCTCTGAGATTTATTGCCTCTTCTTAATCTTAAATTGTCTGTTGCAAAAGAATATTAACTTTTCTGCTCGTGGTTAATGACCCTGACAGTTGAAGCTCCTAAATGTAACAAAATAACAGTGAAATGAGTCCTATTAATGTTCTTACCATTTTAACACATAATTAGTTGGCTATTTTTTCCTTACAGTTCAAGGTGTTCCAATATTTTTAGTCATGTATCAAGATCTCGACAGCCAGGATATTTAAGCACCATTTACTAAGTCTAACTAGCTTCTAATTTACACAAGAAACAACTCTGAAAAGTTAAAGAGATATTAAACTTTCTCGACTGCCAGTATTATAGGTGTTTTTGAATGCATTAAGGTCCTTCACCAGTAATTTCTTGAAACGCTGATTAAATCTTTGTTTCTATTAGATCACCTCAAGATCAGACCCCCACCTTATTTCACATCATTAAACACCCTTATGCTAAGCTAAGCTAAGCTAAGCTAACCTAACCTAACCTAACCTAACCTAACCCTAAGACATATACTGTACTGTATACCATGTTTACAAAGTCCCTTGATGTTAATATTTTCAGTACCTTGATATTTGACTTAACAGATCACCTTAACTTATATTTGTATTCAGTCCATTGAAGTTCGTATTTAGAGAGTACATTTAAAAAGTTACGCATCTAAAAAAAAAAGCAACACACACACGTATACTGGTTCCAATCACCTGTGACTAAGGCCTGCAGGTGGGGTGTAATTAATGCAAAACGGTTGGCAGTGATGCATTCTTGATAATTTCGCCTGCAGGCCTGATGGCGGTTACAGCGGACATGGTGAATACACTAAATCATTAACTGTTATTCTTATTATCATTATGACACTATTATTATTATTAACTGAGTATTATTATTATTAAAGCCATATTATCATTCATTGAACATAGTATTACCGTATTCTTATTAGCATCATCATCCTGTCAGCGCCAGTCTGGATGGGACGTTCGCTTCCTATCATTGTGTATACACTTCTCATCACCACACTCTCTCCCTCCCCGTCTCCCCCTAAAATATTCATCTCCCCCTACACCTATCTGCTGCAGGGAGAGAGGGAGAGAAAGAGGGAGTGTTTGCCCACGATTCCTTACCCCCCCCCTCTCTCTCTCTTCTTCTTTCCCAAATTTCAATATATATATATTTTCCCCAACTTCCTAATCATCTTCCCGACCTCCGACATACAGTATATTTCCCAACCGCCAGTATATATACCCTGATCTCTAACATATATTTCTCGACCTCTTAGATATCTTTCCCGATGCATATATAGCTTACGTTAGGTCTGGTTAAATTACATTAAGTTCGAATAGGTCAAGTTCAATTAGATTAGCTAAACTTAGGTTAATTTACGTTAGATCAGATTAAGTTCGGTTAGGTTATGTTCAGTTTGGTTGCATTAGATGAGGTTAAGTTCTGTCAGGTTAGTTAGTTTCGGCTAATTTAGATTCCGTGTCCAGGTTTGGTTATTAACGAGCACGGCGATGAACATGTGGGGTGCCAGTGGTCGCCTGGCGAGTGTTGCTTGACGAGTGCCACCTGGTGAGTGAAGCTGTGAGTGCAGCACTGCAGCTCAGAGTGTGCCGCTTGGTGAGTGCCGCCTGGTGAGTGAAGCTCAGTGAGTGCCGCTTGGTGAGTGCTGCCTGGTGAGTGCAGCTCAGAAGAGTGCCAATTGATGAGTGCCACCTGGTGAGTGCCGCCCAGTGAGTGTCACCTGGTGAGTGCTGCCCGGTGAGTGCTGCATGATGATTGCTGCTTGATGAGTGCCGCCCAGTGAGCGCTGCTTGATGAGTGCCGCCCGGTGAGTGCTGTGTGATGAGTGCCGCCCGGTGAGTGCCGCCCGGTGATGTGTCCTCATCTCATTACCTTCCCCTCTCCCTTGGAAAAATAGTACTTGAGCGGGTGATTAGTGGGTACTGCTCCACCTCCCTCCCTCCCTCTCTCCATTCCTCTCTCTCCCTCTCTTTCCCTCCCTCCCTCTCCCCTGCCCCCCTCTCCTACACGCCAAAATATACGTTTACAGAAGCATACACACACACACACAACCATTATCTATATACTGTACCTCCTTTACTGCTCTCTCTCTCTCTCTCTCTCTCTCTCTCTCTCTCTCTGTTCTCCACCGTCCTCCTCCTCCCGACATAACCACACTTTTCTCCCCCCTTCCTTAACCCTACCCCTTTCTCTCATGTCTCTCTCTATCTCTACCCTCCTCCCCTATACCCGCTGCTACACCTCTCCCCTTTCGTGTAATTTAATATTCCCTCTCTTTATCTCTCTCCCCTCTAACATCTCTCTCTCTCTCTCTCTCTCTCTCTCTCTCTCTCTCTCTCTCTCTCTCTCTCTCTCTCTCTCTCTCTCTCCCGCTGTTATATTGCTTAATTTATACTGTACTACCATTCAAAAGTCCTGACCCCTCCCCCTCTCTCTCTCTCTCTCTCTAGACACATAATGTCTCTCTTTCTCCACGTATCCATTCTCTCTCTCTCTTCCTATTCCTTTGTGTTCTATGCTTGGAGATAACAAAACACACACACACACATACATACATACATACACAAACACACAGGTACATACAAAACACACACACACATATACACATACACAGCCACAAACACACATACATACAACATACACAAACGTACAATCAAAGACAAAAGTCGTGTCGCGGTTTTGTCCGAATATTAAACAGAACTCGTGAAACATTATGAGAGCCCCGCCCCCTACCACAAGGCAGAGCGCACCAAGAGTTTAGCCCTTCGGCATATGTTTTCACCAAATTTCACGACACGACTTTTGTCTTGCACACACACACATACACACACACATCCTTGACCACCGAAGGGTCAAGACGTACCTGGCGCTCCTCTCGGAGCAGCCAGGTCAACTGTTAACTTGGCCCATACCAACTCCTTCCCCTGAACCCTCCTCCCCACCAGAATATCAACATGTTCTCGCCAGAAGTTACTATTTCATTTAGGAAAGGAACGGAACCAGTGTTAAACAGAGGTGAACAGAGGTGAACAGTGCTTAAGTCAGTGAGAACAACTCAACAGTAACAGTGGTACCCAAGTTGACCTTCACACAGTGAGGTCCCAGGTACCCAGTGATAACGGCCCGTGAGACCC